TAGCTTCGCTTTCAAAGTTATCTAAGGAAGGCAAGCGCGCATTTCCATCAATTTCGATTATTTAGATTGACGAAAGGATTATCGATAGTCCTCTAAAAAGAGTCAGTTTAAAGTAAATCGATCAAGAATAGAGTAAAATGGTGCTAAAAAAGGCTTACGAGTTTATGTCTCACCGCAAATGCCGCATAATAGCATATATATGTTGATATTGATATCAAAAAAAAAAATTTTTAACTCCTCAGATTACTGATTATTACTTTTTACTTTAATTACAGAATCAAATGCTTTGAAATTTTTAGAGGTTAAAGTTTGTTGTTGTCACCAGAAGGCTATTACTTTTATTATTAAATTTCCTATGAGATCTGATATTTCATCTAAAATTCCGCTGTTTTATTTTGATTCATGGGAACACGTTTTATGGACATTTTCTTGTGTTTCGTGACGGCTGTCTTCCGTTTTCATTTTGTGAACTCGGGTCTGGTGGTCAGGCGAGGTCATTATGGTACCGGTCACCGGTCTACTGCAACAGATTGCATATCCGTACAACTTCGTTTTGGCTTCCGTGTCCATATATACTTCAATAACATGTAATTATGAACTGAAACGTTTAATTTTATCTGTTCATTTTTTATCCATGTACCAAACATGGCGTTTGGGTACAAAAAAAGCTAAAGTAAAGTTAAAATAAAATAACACCTCAAAGAGATTGTATAAAAAGTTTAGCACTTAACCGTAAGTCGCTATAAATCACCGCTAATAAGTGTTTATATACATTAAACAATCTTCTCCTATACGGCGTCATCAAAGTTAGGTAATACCGTTTTACTAAACGTGTAACACGTACATGGAAACATTTTGTGGTCATTTAAATACTTCAAGAAATGACGAAAGATATCAAAATCTGACCACCCATATATCACAATTATTAGACTAAAGTATCGTAGGCGAAAGTAGCGTATGAAAAGTGAGTTGGTATATAAACAGCTTTTCTCAGTGAAAGTTCAAAATGGCTGATAATCTGGAACGCTGTATAACATAATGCCGACGATGACTATAAATATGTGTTGGTCTAAATAAGTTTCGACTTAAATAGCCTTCGCCTTCATTTTGATTTAGGTTTTGCGTCTAGAAAGAGCCCAGAACTCAGAAGTTTTATTTCGTCGTACATGAAATATTGTACACAATTAGACAAATATAATGACAATACAAAAATCAATTAAAGACTGAAGAATACATGCGTACAATATTTCGCAATTGACGCGGAGCCGCGAAAGACTGCCAGAGTCATCGTGTCAACGACACCGCGTTGATTTATTGATGAACAGATGACGTTAAATAAATTTAAAAATAGGAATTGAATGAAATCCCTTCATGACTTGCTGAATCTAATTCAGGAAATATAAAGTAAATATGATGCAAGTCAACCATTCCCTAATCATTCCCCAATAAGTGCATTCACGATAGTGACTATGCATATTTTTTACCACGAAGTGTACCGTATTTGAAAAAATATATATATATTTCTTGTTACCAAAACAGCTCAACAAAAATTTAATAAATCGTTCAACCAAATTGCAGTTATTCAAACTGAATGCAAAAAATGGATATTGCCACGATAAAGCGTATGCCTACGATTTCCAAGCATGGTCAGTGCTATTCTTTCCAATATATGTCACACCCAGGTAAATAAATGTACGTAAATGTAAAAAGTACGTCAATGACGGTTGAACTTTAAATTAAATTGGGCGTGACACAGCAACGTCGAAATAATCCTACACTCATTGTTTTCCATACAAGTACTATTCTGTCTGATATTTTTAGTGGAAGAATGAGAGAAATACAAAATCATTTTCACACGAAAGAGATAAAAACAGAACTACGCTTCAGTGTCGACTGCCAAATAGTAAGCGTGTTGGCTATATTATTTTCGCATGTAGATTTTGAGTTCAATGAACTAGATGAGTTATTGCCGGTGATTTGGAGGCTCTATGCTTCTGAGCACCGTATTTTGGGTAGTTTTATTATGACTGAATGTGTAAAAACCGTGAAAATCCAGGTAGAGCAATAACACCGAATAATTTTTAAAATCAGATTTTGCCAATTGCCATTTGCTTGTGCGTAATGTACTAACATAGTTTTTAACGTCAGTTTTTCCAGGGATTCTAGTCGTCTAATTTGCGCCCGGGAGAAATGTTATAAAGTGCTTAAATATCAGGGATTTTTGAATACAGTGAATCTGCTAAAAATCCTCAAGTTTTCAGATATTACGCATCCAAGAAATCGATTCTTTCAAAGTCACAACAGGCTTTGTTCATTCACATTCAATAATTCATATATGACATATGATAATAATTGGTAAATTGAAAATAGAAAAATGGCAATAAGAAAAAATGTAAATGTGAATGAAAGCAAAACACTCATGTTTCCGGAAAGGCAGAAATGATTGAGAAGCAGAATGCCTAGTTCGCAAACCAGGAACATACACCTCGGTTTCTTGCAAAGGTTTCGCGGATTCAAAATCACACTTAAATTCTGTCAAACATTATGAAGCAGTAAGAGGAGCTTTCTAAAGTGACAAATTATTTTGTCAAAACAGGATGTAAAACAGAAAATGGAGTATGGAGTTACGGCTGCCGAGGGCGCTTGTACGATTTGCACAGTTAGGCATTACAATAGTTTTCGCTAAAAAACATTCTCTGATTCTGGCATTCTCTGATCATTACATCTGTACTTGAACCGTATTCGAGCGATGATGCCTTAGAAGGTTTTGAAGAAAATTGTATTGAATACAGTATTGTGCAACTGATTTAGTAAAATGCAACAATTTTGCTCTTTTCGTTTTGTCTGTATTCTATCTCTTCTACACGAGAAAGCGACGGCTGCTTGTGCCTTTGGATACATCGCAAATTTATACCATAACATAAGTGTTTTGGTTACAAAATCGGTCAACATGGCTCATGTAAATTTTGTCAGGGATTTTGTCTTTTCGGTTATGGTAACCCGTCATACCATAAAAATAAGAAAGATTGTCTTGTTCTATCATAAAGACTTTTGATGTTGAAGGGATTTTTCGAAAAACAATTTACCAAAATACTGAATTAGGCTGACGTTATTTTGCTGTCATACACGTACATAAATATGTTTAGAAACTCAACGGCTCATGAATTTTCGTTTCCGTTTTAAAAAATAGTTTAATCTCGTCATGCAGCAGTATTTTGCATAACACTGTGACATTAAATTGCAATTTCAGTACAAAACTATATAATATCGATACGATACAATATCGACAAATCGTACTTTGCATTTTATGATCACCCATTTGATTTATATCTTTACTTTTAATACGACCGGAACAGTCATATGCCAGTGAACGATAGGGCATGGTCATGTGGACATCCGGCGTTACGGAAGCGAACGGAACAGGTGTGGGGTGATATATTACAGGAACTATAGCTTAGCTCGGTTAATTCGGAGTTGGTAATATTTCAATCTGGTTAAACTTGGCAGACAATATATAGAAAAAATAATAATTTTGTTGAGTAGACATTTACTATCTCATGTTTTTATGGACTAAGACTAAGCTAGTCAGTTAGTAGTTTATCTCTTCACCATGCTGAAAGTACATACTCATAGCATAAAAACGGCATTTTAGGGTGTAGTAAGACGCGAAAAAAAACAATAATGGTTATGGAGGAGCAACACCATGGCCTATTTAAAGTCTTACACAAAATGAAAGAAAAAAAAATAATAAAATATACTAATTCAAAATAATAAATGTATATCAGAAAAAAACGTTCAAGTACGTGGAGGCGACTTGGTTTACCAACAGTAAGATAGAGAGAGGTATATTTGCTTAAGAAAAACTAACCTAAAGATAAGTTAGCCATCTATATATTCTGCTTTTCTAAGGCAGACGTTTCGTAATCCCCATAATATTTTGTGGGTGCCATTAGGACATTGATCAATATTGATTTTGAGGCAGGGAACCGTAAATGACATTTAGCTCCAATACCTTCGAAAACCGAAGATTGTCTATTCATTTATTAACCGCCTGACTGCGACTGCTTTTATTAAAAAGAAGATTACTCTTTTTCGTTAATTTTATTTTGCACCAGTTTTCTATGATTTGATGCAGTCCCTCGAGTTTATGTGTCAACGGTCGCGTATTTGGATATATATAACAATACCGCCGTACATGGTCTGTTTCGGTCAGGTTTCGCAAAGAACTATTTAGGAATTATAATTTGATGTTGGTAAAAGTACATATACAATCGTAGGAATACAACAAGCTCTTTTTTCAACCGAATATATCAATCTTATCACAAACGAAAGTCATATTTGAATTCAATATCAGTGTCTAAAACTATTAAACAATGACATTTCATAATGTGTACCTAACATTTGAGGTATATTAAAATAGACTGAATTAGTTTTCCTGACATTTTATTTTGACGTATTGATAAGGCTGATTAAGTTTGTTAAAAGTTCTTTTGGCATTGAAACAATCAGTTTATTCAAATGTTTTTCAAATTGTACACGGTTATAAATATATTTTCTATCATCAATAGAAACAAGCGGTTAAATTGCTCTGACGTAACTGAAAAATATTTTTATAACTGTGATTTGAAAGCATTTGCTCGGTAATCTAACTATTTTGTTGTTACTTTAAGGATTAGAATGCAAAACTGTTTTGCTTGAGGGCGTTAATTGAAGATAATTCTTAGATTCAGGGTCAGTAGATATAAAGATAACTGATGACATCAAAAATTCATGGTCTTAAAAATGGCTTTGCTTGATACTTCCGGCGTAAGACTTTTTACAGTATATGTGAATGTTGCGTGGCGGACTTGATTGTTAAAATTCAGTTTAGTCGAACTTTAAAGTATGTTGTAAATTCTCAGTTCAATGACAGTATTGTACTTAGTTATATGTTTACATGTTAAATTCGACGTAATCTACCCAAGGCATTTCAATAATAAGTTTTCGTAATATTTCTTTAGCATATAACAAAAGCAATAGCTTCCGAAACAACTGGACAAGCTAAAGTAAATTTGCAAATGATTCTAACATGAACCGATATCTCTTTACTTTGAATGCCATATGGACTTTGTTGGTAATTTACAAGTTTCAATCATCATTTGGCATAGCCAGTCAAGATGAAGAAGATCTTGTCAACAAACTAAAGATTTCAAGTTCGGAACTCGAAGCATCTGGATACATGGGTGACGAAATTGAGAACGAGAATGAAACTTCATTGTATGCAGACAATCTTGAATATTACCATTGTCATTACGTCCCGAACCAAAGAATCTCCAATCGTACCGAAGAATTAGAATGCTGTGAATACATGATTACCGGATATTACGGCAAATGGTTTTATGGTAGAGCGTACTTAACCACTTTCTTGGACAATTTGAAACAATGGGAATGTCCGCAACTCGAAAGGCAATGTAGAAAAAGGTATTTCGACGTTTCAGCTTTCACAAATTTGGTTTACAACCGTGTTTGCGACCAACAGAAATATCGTAATGAATGTTTTGAAACTGTTTCAAACTTACAAACAACAAATTTGTCGAAATTCGACCAAAACTTTTCTTTAACGACAATTTCCGACGCACGGTGGCAAGAAATGGTTCGGAACTTGTACTCAATGAACATGACATACGAAGAAATAAACCAGCCATGTACTCAAGTTGCATTATTCGAAGGACCTCGTGGAGGTCCTGGGCGTTATCACGAGTCTGTTGAAGTTATGGTCCCATTCTGTGGATTTGTATGGTGTGGTTACGATGCCGATACTATACACGGAAGAAAGATTTCAGTCTGGACGTGTATGCCTACGGGGTGAGTAAAACAAAAAATTTGAAGTTTAAAAATTAAAACAGTAATGTTAAGGTATGTTTTGATAAAATGCAGCCTAGAAATGCATGTGACGTACACACTGCTTTTATGATTTGCCTAATTATTGTAGACATTCGAAACAACTGTGATCTTTGTGGACATGGGTATTTTTGACTATATCGAATTACGTCAGTTGGCGTGATATTCGACATCACGTCCTGGTACACGATTCCGTGATAAAATTTCAACAGGTTTCTGTTTTGTTATTGTGCGGTTGTATTGTCCTTAAAATATTCAAATCGTATATGTTGCGGTATCGCAAAATCAGATACCTTTGCCAAATCCCGAAAGTATAATACACTGATTGCGTTGTAATGCAACCGTTTTGTCTCGGAGTTTGTGTGCTTTCATTTGATTAACTGACATATCAAACGACGAACGGCCATTCGAGTGTTAACAAACGATTCTTATCGAGAATTGTGACAGAATTGCAAATTATTTTCCAATTTCGTTCAATAAATTTCTGTTTATTTTTCACTAATCTGATAACGACGAGAAACGAAAATAGCGGTTTTGCCTATACTCGTGACTTTATCACATGACTACCGCAACATGGTAGTAATCACCACGAAAGTGAAAAACACTACAAAATCGAATGCAGAATTTTTTCTGTTTTTGATAAATTGTATTGTTCGATTTATAGGTAAATACAGTGAAAAAAAATTTATAATATTATTTTCATATATTTCATATCGTATTAATTAAATCATTATTTAATATTAACAAAAAATTGACATTTCAAATCACGTATTGTTCTCACCTGGCTATTAGGAGATCTTATTATATATAAAACCTTATCTTAAAGATTATGTAAACACAAGAAGATTAAATGGGTTTTCCGTAGGTTCAACGAAATGTATAATAAACTGTTGAATAAAAGACTTATCCCGGGATTATTTTCAGATATTTTAAATATGCCACTTCCGGGTATGTAATGAGAATTTTATATTAGATCATAAAAACAAAAATTCATCGTCATCATTTTAATAAAAGTAAAGAAAATAAATTGCTTATACCGAAACCCTTGCAATTATTAATAACTTTAAAATAGCTCTTAATTTCACGTTATTTTTAGAATGAAGTACATAATGCGACACATCGAGCCACTTCCTTTTTCATTTATATCTGGATAGCGCATTAAATTCGTTAACGTGAACTTATTCTATATATATATATAAGAACTACAAAGAAATTTGGGTACTCCTGGAGTACGCGCACCGAGATGTCGTATAACCTGAACCCTAACCTGGTACACAACCTGACTTCAGATTGTGCGCCATTTTGGTGCGCATACTTCAGGAGGTCCGAAACTTGTTACATTAAAATGTTACGGGCAGTGAGAGAACTTTCGTATGGTTTTTACTGATGACCCTAGGTGTAATACCCAATAAAAATTTTCAATTTTAATGAACATTAGTACTTTATTAAACATTGTCCATGAAACGGTTCCAATTCCCTTAAAACTTTTCTTGTGACTTACAAGAAACGTTCTTGTAATGTATTAGAATGATCCAATCAATTAAATGCTGTTAATCAATTATCCTTATCACATAAAAACTACGTGGCTGTACATCTTTGCTATTCACGGGGAAAGCATGATACAATAGATTTCATCGAAACTTCAAATACTGGGTACATAGATAAATGAGAATCGACGTTGTCTCTTCAAAACTGTGTTGTTCTGAACTTGTCCCAACAGAAAAGTTTCAGCTGTCAAACTCGGTTGGCTATGATCTATTATCACACTTTACTGTAAGTGTACCTACCCGACAAAAATTGTATGCCAAACTTTTTTACAAGAACTTCAGTTAAGTAGAATTAACTTTATCTCGCAGATGTTTTTCTGGTCATATTGAAATGAATTGCTTCAAGATTCTCACTTTTATAATCTCAGTGAATCGCGTTAGGATTCGCCCTAAACTCCACTCAGAGATTGGTTTTGGGGTAGTGGGCGGGACGTTGCCTTGAGCAATTTTTTTAAGAAATCTGTAAGGTATGATCGCATTTGACCTGTCTCTCATTTTTCGGCATTGCTACCACACATCGTAAATTTACTGTGATAGTTTAAGTAACGTCTAGGCTTTGTCATATAGAAAAGATAGAAGTTGTCTGACATAATTTTTCTCACGTGAACGAAATTCTTTGTTTTCGTGTTAATCAACTTCGATTTATCGAATCTTGATTAAAAATACCACAAGGTTTTTTTGAACATTATCCCGTTAAAGTACAAGCTTCAATTTGCGAATAAACATGTTTCCTTTGTAATGTCACGAGTTCGTTCATTATGTTGATTACATTCAGCTTAATTGCATTAGATGTTGGTAGAAAGTACCTGGGATATTAATGCATCAGCTATTCGACATTTCACCGTAGGCCTAATTTTCAACGAGTAACTTTCCGCCTTGTTTTGTATTGGCCTAATCGATGTCTTTACACCCCTAAACATGGGCTAATTATGTATGTCCTAACCAGCGTTTTCAGCCGACAAGAAGCTCCAAAACCAATCACAAATAATATTTTCTTTCAGATGCAAAATCGGAATGGGCATTGCTGCTTTACTGATTGCTTGTCTCGGTATCCTCACGTTGCTGGCAAATTTAATGGTGATTGCGGTTTATTGGTACAAAAAGAACATGAACAATAGCCAGACTGTATACAGAGTAACGTTAGCTATTGGAGACACTTTGGTCGGAGCCGTAGTTTTTCCGACATTTATTTCGTCACTTTTCTTATTGTTTCTGACAAGACTATACATGGGGGATTACGTAAAACCAATGAAAAATGAAAGCATCAACGGCATTCCTCTACAACCACAACGTTACCCAATTGGACATTTTAGAAACGCGTTTACTCAGCCGTACCTAGACGGGGTTGGATTTTTCACTTCCTTCTCCATCATAATATCAGTTTATACTCTAATGTTGGCGAGTTTCGATCGAATGGCAGCCATGAGTTGTCCCATGTCATATGATCGTAGAAGAGCCCGGAATATAGCAAAGCATACATGTGCTATTCTTTGTCTAGCTGCGTTAGTTGTCGCTGTGCTGCCGATTTTTACATCATCTCTGAGATATGGACTTGTGGCATCAATTCTTATATCCTTGTTAGAAGGAGATGCAGTAATTTTCTACACAATTACTATGATCATACCATTGGTGCTGATGTGGATTACAACTATCATTTTGCTGGTTTACTCTAAACGACACACTCAAGTAAGACGTCAGATTTCTACCCGTTCTAACGACCAAATTACAATCTCAGAAAGAAGACTCGTCAAAACACTAAGTATCATGGTTGGTTCATTCACTGCTTCTTTGCTACCAGCAATTATTGTTCTGTTGATTTCTATGTTTGTGGATGATATTTACTACGATGATCCAGAATATTTAAGCAAGACATCAGCTACAATCTATACAACGTCTGAATTTGTGAGCGTTGTTATATTGAGTACCAACAGCCTATGGAATTTTTTTATTTATAACTCCAGAGATAAAGACTTTCGTAAATCAGCTAAACACTTACTAAATAAAAATTGCTCTACTTTTGGATTCCCGAAAATGTGGCGGACAATGAAGTACAGGATTACGAAAAGAAGGCTAACTGCCGCTTCCATAACAACTGGAGTGATATCTATCAAGACATGCAGCGAACTTGAAAAACAGGCCAGTAAAAATACGGCACCCAACTCAACGGAATCCCTGCCAGAAGAAAACAATTCACGTGGCAAAATCGACAACAATAACGAGGAACCTAACTTCGATCCAAATGAAGATTCAACATGGCGTTCGTTTGCAGTGAGTGAGGGGAATGGTTTTTATCGCTCAGTGATGGAAAATATTGCAGTAAATATTGAAGAAGATGGTAGGATTGCTACAACAAAGCAATGAGACAACTATTTGCGAATGGAGTAATGTTTCAAATTCTGCATAAAGCATTTTTAAGTCAAGTAAGAAGTATAAAAGTCATCTGTCAGCAGCTGTACAAGACCGTCTCGTGGGATCAGCGAGTTGCAATCGCCAATATTTAATTAGGATGGGAAAAGCTCTAATTCAACAAAAGGGAATGGATATCGAATAAAATCAGACAATTTCTCATACCTGAATAAAATTGTTTCGTATCAATATAGTCACTGAATATTTAGTACTTGGACATTTTAATAAATCTGTTTGTAAACAAAGAGAGTTTTGCAGATGTTTACACCACTAGTTTACATCCCTGTTGGGAGAGATGATTACCATTTTTCTAAACAAGAAAGCTATGCTCAAATATATGAACACATAGGATAATTTATCATCACTTCATCGAAAACCATAGGGTATCCTACACGAGGCTGAACAGTGAAACAGAGAAAAGCGATTTTTAATGATAATGATGAGGAAAAACAACAACAACATAATATTGAAACGATCGTTATGTCCACTTGTCCGCGTGGTTATCCCAGAAGCATTTACCATATACTTGCAAGTACCCATAACACATGTCTCAACTTGAAATACAACTTCGGGGAAAATGACAAATAAAGGGTACACACAAATTAAGTTTCTAACTCATGTATGTATCATAGTTTCCCGGACTTTTATCGGTAAATGAAGAGTGTCTCAAAAATTTCGTGTCCCACGTTACCCCCGTGTCTCACTTTTCCCACTTGTTCCACATGTCCCATGTGATCCCTTGTCCCACTTATCTCATTTGCCCGGTACTGATTCGATATTGGCCCGCCGATTTTCGAAAAGCCGATGTTCTGATACTGATATTCCGATATTATTTAATTATCATCTTGATTGTGAGGAACTGACATATCATTATTTCCGCTTGACGAACAGATGATATTACAGATAAAAAAAAATGATATTTAATAGATTCAAATGCCTAAATGACGTGTCATTAGAATCAATGCAAATAATCTAAAGTACATGAATCAATTAACCTGTAAATTGCTTTGCAACCTAGTACGAATGAAAGTAGCGCCTCAGTAGTTTCTGCAGACGTGTTGTTGCGCAAAAGCGCAAGTAATCATGGTGTTCAATCTGCATGATCTATGAAATTGTAGTTAAATTTTGTATTATCTTAAAGCTAAAAACAGTAAGAAGTTCAAAGTCGCAATAAAACGTCATGGTACCAGAAAACGTGACGTTATTATGCCAGTTTCTACTCGCGAGATTGGGAAGCGGGCTATTTTTTTTCATTTTTATGTCGAGTTTTTTTTTTTTTTTAATTTTTACTTCATTCTTACTTTAGTTTGATTTAAAATTTTGCTTTGTATCTGCTGTAGTATTACTGATTTAATAGAGTTCGTTATGATTACTATAATATATAAAAACTCGATCTGTACAAAATAGGAGTCACAACTAGGGCATAACAATAGATAAAAAAAAAATAAAGTAGTTCTTATGCATAGTGAGGAAGGAATAAAGAATTCCAAAATTGGAGAAGGGAGAAATTTAAAGAAAAAGGTTTGGGAAGCACTGCATCAGATGCCTTGTACACTTACATCTTATACATCAGATGGTTGGTCCACATGAATCCCATTTATCATACATACCACTTATTGTCTACATCCATTCTATTCTTCGGATGTTTTGTCCACGTCCATTCCATCCACCAGATCAGGTGTTTTGTCCACATACATCTCAATGAATACGCGAGACAAGGGATACAAGTGTGTAGCACGTGAAACAACCTAACGTACTCTAGATACATACAATCTAAAAGTATTACTGACACTGACTTTCTTAAACTCGGACGGCATGGTGTATTACGATTACTAAACACTACATTTTATAGGCTACTTGTTAATAATGTCACAACCAAAGTTATGTTTAAATGTCTCATTCAATTGACAATATACTTACAAATATGCAAAGTCGTCTTTGTTAAAATTACATAAATGTATAATTGCCGAAATCACCTTGTCAATATCACCACGTACTCCTATATCAACAATCGGATAATTTTTTAATTCAATAGTCAGAACAGCTGTAAAATATTTTTATTTTCTTTGTATGTATACACAGTCAAATTTTTTTTTTCAAATATCTGTTATAATTACAATCAGTCATAATCGTTGATTAATCGTTGAAGTAAAGTTTTCCCCAAGTGCATACAATCCTATACAAGACGTGGGGAAAGTGGGACATAGTCATTTTAGTAGGGATATAGCCATTTTAGAAAGGACATAGCAATTTTAGTAGGGACATAGCCATTCTAGTGAGGACATAGCCATTTTAGTAGGGACATGCCGGACAATTTCATTTCAGTCAGGACATAGCCATTTTAGTAGGGACATGCCGGACATTGCCATTTTAGTAGGGACATAGCGGACATAGCCATTTTAGTATGGACATTGCCATTTTATTAGGAACATGCCGGACAACTTCATTTCAGTCGGGACATAGCCATTTTAGTAGGGACATGCCGGACATTGCCATTTTAGTAGGGACATAGCGGACATAGCCATTTTAGTATGGACATGCCGGACATTGCCATTTTAGCAGGGACATCGCCATTTTGGTAGGGACATATCGGGATTGCGATTTTAGAAGGGACATAGCCAATTTAGTATGGACATAGCTATTTTAGTATGGACATGCCGGACATTGCCATTTCAGTAGGGACATAGTCATTTTAGTAGGGACATCGCCATTGTAGTAGCGACATAGTCATTTTAGTAGGGACATAACCATTTTAGCAGGGACACCGCCATTTTGGTAGAGACATATCGGGATTGCGATTTTAGAAGGGACATAGCCAATTTAGTATGGGCATAGCCATTTTAGTAGGGACATGCCGGACATCGCAATTTTAGTAGGGAAATTGTCATTTTAGTATGGACATAGCGGACATCGTCATTTTAGTAGGGACATAGCGGACATAGTCATTTTAGTAGGGACATCGCCAGTTTGGTAGGGACATATCGGGATTGCGATTTAGAAAGGACATAGCCAATTTAGTAGGGGCATAGCCATTTTAGTATGGACATAGCGGACGTATGGGACATAGCCATTTTATAACTACCCCAGGTAATCCACTATGGTGTATGCAGTGCCAATATACGGCGTTTTATTTCAGAATATTCTCCGCACTTCTTAAATAATAATGGTATTCCATTTGTAATTAGGTTTTATTGTTGGACATGGAGTGTCACTATGGATCGTTTTGTTATTATGTTAATGTTTTTGTTGTTCTACTCTTATTGTTTATATTTTTTTCATATTCGTATGAAAATAAGTTTTTCTCTTTAATTACAGGGCCAATTGATTTGAAATTTTCAGAGGTTAAAGATTGTTGTTGTCACTATGAGGCTATTACTTTTATTACTGAATTTCCCATGCCATAATATGCTATTTCACCTAAAATTTTGCTGTTTTATTTTTATTTGCGGGAACACGTTTTATAAACGTTTTTCAAGTTTCGTGATGGATGTCTTCCGTTTTGATTTTGCGAACTCGGGTCTGGTGGTCAGGCGAGGTCGTGAACACTGCGGTGCCGGTCACCGGTCTACTGTAACAGATAGCATACCCGTACAACTTCGTTTTGGCTTTCGTGTCCATATATTTGATCATCACTCTCTTCTTTTATCGTCAAATGAAGACAATACTTCAATACCATGTAATTATGAACTGAAACGTTTAATTCGTTCGCTTCATTTTTGTCCATGTACCAGACATGGCGTTTGGATACAAAAAAGCTACAGTGAAGTTAATAAAATGAAATAACACTTTAAAGAGATTGTATAAAAGGTTTAGCACTTAACCGTAAGCCGCTATAAATCCCCGTTAATGAGTGTTTATATACAATAAATAATCTTCTCTTATATGACGTCATCAAAGTCAGATAATACCGTTTTACTAATCGCGTAACACGTTTATGGAAACATTTTGCGGTCATTTAAATACCTCGAGAAATGACGAAAGATATCAAAATCTAACCTCCTATATATCGCAATTATTAGACTAAAGTATCGTAGGCGAAAGTAGCGTATGAAAAGTGAGTAGGTATATAGACAGCTTTTCTCAGTGAAAGTCTAAAATGACTGATAATTTGGAGTGCTGTATAAAGTGAGTAGGTATATAGACAGCTTTTCTCAGTGAAAGTCTAAAATGACTGATAATTTGGAGTGCTGTATAACATAATACCGACGATATGTTTATGCGCTTTAAATAAACTACTTCTCAAAGGACTTTGAAATATTTGAAGAAACCTTTGGGTTAGTTTTTCTTGTCCAAATATAAGTCGAGCGCAAGTCTTGCGCTCTTACTGTTGGTACACCAAGTCGCCTCGACGTACTTGAACGTATTTTTTTCTAATATATTATTAATAGTTAATAGAATTCTTACTTTTTATTTATCCATTTCATTTTGTGTGAGACTTTATCAAGAGTGCTGCTGCTCCGTAACCAGTATTGTTTAAATGCCGTTTTTATGCTCTTTTATATTGTGTATATGTACTTCGCGTATTTTCAGCATGGTGAAAAAAACTACTAATTGACTAGCTTCGTCTTAGTCAATAAAACATGAGATAGTGGATGTCTAGTCAACAAAACTTTCAATTTTCGTAAATATTTTTTTGCCAGGTTTAACCAGATTTCTCGAATTATTAACTCCAAATTAACCGAGCTAAGCCATAGTTTCTGTAATATATCACCCCACACCTGTTCCGTTCGCTTTCGTATCGCCGGATGTCCATATAACCATGTCCTATCGTTCACTGTCATATGACTGTTCCGCTCGTTTTATATTTGTAGCTATTTATAGCAGCTATTTCTAAAGATATCAATTTTCTATATTTAATCCCCATTAATAAATAAAGATATAAATCAAATAGGTGAGCATAAAATGCAAAGTACGATTTGTAGATATTGTATAGTATCGATATTATATAGTTTTGTACCGGAAGTGTAATGTCTCAGGGTTATGCAAAATACCGCTTAAAAGGGAAACAAAACTCGATGAGCAGTTGAGTTTTTGAACTCTATTTATGTATGTGCATGACATCAAAAATGACGTCAGCTTAAATCAGTATTTCGAAAAATTGTCGTTCATGCATGACCAGCAAATGACGATTATCATTTCAAAATTAAACATTGTTATGGCTCTACCCGTGTTTTCAAGGTTTTTACACATTCAATCATGATAAAACTACTCATTGAACTCAAAATCTACATGCTATAATAGTATAGCCAACACGCCCACTATTAGGCAGTCGACACTGGAGCGTTGTTCTTGTTTTTATCTCTTTCGTGTGAAAATGATATTGTATTTTTCTCATTCTTCTACTAAAAATATCACACAGAATAGAACTTGTGTGAAGAAACAATGAGTGTCAGATTATTTCAGCGTTGCTGTGCTGTGTAAGGTAAAAGAACATTGCGACTAAAACAAGGCATTGGTTTTGGTGGTTATATCGCGCCCAATTCAATTTGAAGTTCAACCGTCATTTACGTACTTTCTACATTTACGTACATTTATTTACTTGGGTGTGACATATATTGGGAAAAAATTTAGGCATCTTGATATTCTGCTTTATTCTAAGACGGACGTTTCATGAGCACCGAAATTGTTTGGGAAACTCATTAAGACATTGATATTTGAGGCGGAAACCGTGAATGACATTTATCCCCTACTTCGAAAACCGTATATTCGATATCCATTCATTAACTGTCTGACTTTGACTGCGTCTATTGAAAAGCATTAAAAGCAGATTATTCTTTTTTGTTCCTGTTGATTTTATTTCACATCAGTTTTCTTGATTCACTGCAGTCTCTTGATTTCATGTGCCAGCGGTCGCCTATTTGGATATATGTGACTACTGCTGTGTGTGGCGTGTTTCGGTTAGGATCGCTGTATAGAGATTTGAGAAGAGCTATTCAGAAATTATAATTTGATGTTGTTCAAAGTATACATACAAATGTAGGAATATATCAAATACTTTAATTCAACCGGATATATCATCCTTATTACAACCGAAAGTCCTATTTATATTGAATATTAGTCTCTAAAACAATTAAAGAATGACATTTTATATTGTATACCTAACATTTGGGGTATTTTAAATAGAGTTAGTTTCCCTGACATTTTATTTTGACGTATTGATAAGGCTGATTAAGTTAGTTAAAATATCTTTTGGGATTAACAGTTCAAAAGTTTTTAAAATTAAACGCGGTTATAAATAATTTTTCTATTATAAATAACACCAAGTGGTTATATTGCTCTGACGTAATTGAAAATAGCTTTATAACTGTGATTTGAAAGCATTTGCTCGGCAATCTAACTATTTTGTTGTTACTTTAAGGATTAGAATGCAAAACTGTTTTGCTTGAGGGCAATAATTGAAGATAATTCTTAGATTCAGGGTCAGTAGATAAAAAGATAACTGATGACATCAAAAATTCATTGGCTTAAATATGGCTTTGCTTGATACTTCCGGCGTAAGACTTTTTTCAGCAGAGGTGAATGTTGCGTGGCAGACTTGATTGTTAAAATTAAGTTTAGTTGGACTGTAAAGTATGTTGTAAATTCACAGTTTAATGACAGTATTGTACTTAGTTATATGTTTACATGTTAAATTCGACGTAATCTCCCCAAGGCAATGATAAGTTTTCGTAATATTTTTTCAGCATATAACAAAAGGAATAGCTTCCGAAACAACTGGACAAGCTAAAGTAAATTTGCAAATGATTTTAACATGAACCGATATCTCTTTACTTCGAATGTCATATGGAGTTTGTTAGTAATTTGCAAGTTTCAATCATCATTTTGCATAGCCAGTCAAGATGAAGGAGATGTCGAAGCATCTGGATACAAGGGTGACAAAATTGATAACGAGAATGAAACTTCATTGTATGCAGACAATGTTGAATATTACCATTGTCATTACGTCCCTAACGAAAGAATCTCCAACCGTACCGAGGAATTAGAATGTTGTGACTACATGATTACAAGATATTACGCAAAATGGTTTTATGGTAGAGCGTACTTAACCACTTTCTTGGACAATTTGAAACAATGGGAATGTCCGCAGTTTAAAATGCAATGTAGAGGAAGATTTTTCGACGTTACGGCTTTCACAAATGTGGTTTACAACCGAGTTTGCAACCAACAGAAATATCGTAACGATTGTTTTGAAACTGTTTCAAACTTACAAACAACAAATTCGTCGAAATTCGACCAAAACTCTTCTTTAACGACAATTCCCGACACACAGTGGCAAGAAATGGTTCGGAACTTGTACTCAATGAACATGACATACGAAGAAATAAACCAGCCATGTACTCAAGTTGCATTATTCGAAGGAGCTCGTGGGGGTTCAGGGCGTTATCACGAGTCTGTCCAAGTTATGGTCCCATTCTATGGCTTCGTATGGTGTGGTTACGATGCCGATACTATATACGGAAGAAAAATCTCAGTCTGGACGTGTATGCCTACGGGGTATGTAGAACAAAATTTATAAAGTTTGAAAATTAAAACAGTACTCTTGTCCACATTCCATATTTATCGGCTGTTGTGACATTCTTTGTGGGCATGGGTATTTCTGACCGTATCGAATTACTTCAGTTGACGTGATATTCGACATTGCGTCCTGGTACACGATTCCGTGATAAAATTCAAACAGGTTTTGTTTTGTTATTCTGCGGTTGTATTGTCCTTAAATTATTCAAGCCTCATATGTTGCGGTATCGCAAAATCAGTTACTTCTGCCGAATATCGGAACGAAAATACGCTGATCTTTATTGTGGTGTAAAATAACGTTTTGTCTCACAATCTGAGTGCTTTTTTCTGATTCAGTAACATATCAAACAACAGGCGGCTATTTTAGAGTTAACAAACGATTTTCATCGAGTACAGTGAGAGAATTGCAAGTTATTTTTCAATTTCGCTCAATAAAGTGAATGAATTTCTGTTCATTTTTCACTACTCTGATAACGACGAAAAACGTTAATAGCAGATTTTCTTGTACTCGTGACTTTATCACATGACTACCGTAACATAGTATAACGAACTACAAACACTACAAAATCACATCCAAACTTTTCTGTTTTTGGTAAAATGTATTGTTTATTTTAAAAATGAGTACATACAGCCACAAAAAAATTTGTAATAGTATATACTGTAATATTGTATACCATATTAATTAAATCATAACTTAATATTAACAAAAAATAAGCCTTTCAAATCACGTATTGTTCCCATACCCGGCTATTAGGAGATTTTTTTATAAATAAAACCTTATCTTGAAGATTATGTAAACACAAGAAGATTAAATGAGTTTTCCGTATAGGTTTACCGCAATGCATAATAAATTGTTGAATAAAAGACTTATCCCGAAATTATTTTTAGATATTTTCAAATGGAAGGTAATTATGTTTCCATGGTTGTATGTAATGAGAATTTCACATCACAAAATATAAAAACGAAAAAGTCATCGTCAGCATTTTAATAAGAGTAAAGAAAAAATGTAATGCTTTCACCAAAATCAAAACCCTCACAATTATTTAACAACTTGAAAACAGTCCTCAATTTTACGTTATTTTTAAAATGAAGTACTTAATGCGACAATTCGAGACAATTCTTCTTCTCGTTAAGTTCGTTAACGTAAACTTCCACAATTAATTTAAATTGAGGCTTTAAAACTGTTAAAAGTAGCTGTATATTTCAAAAACTACACAGAAACTTTTTATATTGATGTGTTTTAAAACTTCCAAAGGAAAGAAAAGTTACGAGCAGGGAGATAAAAAAATGAATATTCTTTGAATAATGTTGTTTTATCTGTAACCCTAAGTGGAGCAATCAATACAAAATTTTCAATTTCAATAAACGTTGGTACTTTATTAAACAGTGTTCATAAAGCGGGTCCATTTCTTACTGACATTGGTGGAATCTAGCAATGTGCTTGTATTGGAATGATCCCATCAATTAAATCCTATTAATCGATTATCATTTTATTACATAACAAAAACGTGGCTGTACATCTTTGTTATAAAGACTTCAAGGGAAAAGCATGCTTTCCTGGTCGTATTAACTTGAATTGCTTCAAGATTCGCATCGTTATAGTTTCAGTAGATCGAGTTAGGAATCGTCCGAAACTCTGTTCAGAGATCGGTTTCTTAGGCTTGTGTGCGGGACGTTGCTTTGAGCAATTTTTTTTTTCAATAAACCTATAAGGTAGGATCGAATTTGACATGTCTCTCATTTTTCGACTGGCATTGCTAGACAATATCGTAAATTTACATCGGGACGTGATAGTTTAATCAACGTCATATAGAAAAGATAGACTGTGTAACGAGACATTTGTCTGTCATATTTGTTGTCACGTGACGAATTTTCTCTTGTGCTTCATCAACTTTAAATCTTGATCGGAAATATCACAAGGTTCTTTTGAACATTATCTCATTTAAAGTACAAGCTTTAACTTGTGAATGAACATGTTTCCTTTGTGATATCACGAGTTCGTTCGTCATACTGGTTGCGAAACGTTGCATCACAACAATCAATGGTTCAATTTGCTTATAAGCGTTATTTTCTATACTGTACTAACATAATTAAAATGAATGATAAGCGGACTAACATATCACGTCTCCGCCGTCCTGCGGAAATGATAAAATTTGTCTAGCTTAACTGCATCAGATGATGGTAGAAAGTACCTGGGATATTAATGCATCAGTTATTCGACATTTCACCGTAGGCCTAACTTTCAACGAGTAATTTTTCCCCTTGTCGTCACGCTAATAACCAAATTGCGTAAGTCATTTTCAGCAGTTTTGAGAAATACGTAGAAAAAATTCCTAATGATATTGTTATGCCATTGAGAGTCAATATTTTCTCATGGTTCCATTTTTTAGTCGTAGTCGGATTTAAATTAATTTATTTGACACAGTTATGTGACGCCTTAATGGCGCACTGTGACTTACGCAAAAATGGGCCTATGACCAGTTCTGAAAACCAAATATTTGAAAAACGTATATAATTTCCAGTATATGCGATGTCTAATCTCCAAAATAGTTTATCTGATTCAATAATATTATTTTTTATGTTTAAAATAACATATTTCATCAATATAACGCGCTCTGCACATCCACCGAAAATAGGATTTTCCATATATATATTAAATATAACAGTTGACAATGCATGTCAACTCAGATAGTGTAGTGTAAATTCAATATTATAAGCGCTGAGTTAGAATCTAAAATGCAAAAACTCGAGTCCAGCGGTAAACAATGACAATTCATTGTGACGAAACAATTGCAAGAATGTGCATGTCACACAAAATTTCAATTTTTATGGGTTTCGGAATTCTTGTGATATAATCTGAGTTAACAGACAGGTGCGCAGCATTACATTTCATAAAAAAACTCAAAACCGTCAAAAATGACTTACGCAATTCGATTGTTAGCCTGACTTTGTATTGTCTTGGCCTAATCGATGTCTTTACACCTATGAACATGGGTTAATAATGTATATCCTAACCAGCACTCTTAACTGACAAAAAGCTTCAAAACTAATTACAAATAATATTTTCTTTCAGATGCAAAATCGGAATGGGCATTGCTGCTTTCCTGATTGCTTGTCTCGGTATCCTCACGTTGCTGGCAAATTTAATGGTGATTGCAGTTTATTGGTACAAAAAGAACATGAACAATAGCCAGACTGTATACAGAGTAACGTTAGCTATTGGAGACACTCTGGTCGGAGCCGTAGTTTTTCCGACATTTATTTCGTCATTTTTCTTATTGTTTCTGACAAGGCTATACATGGGGGATTACGTAAAACCAATGAAAAATGAAAGCGTCAACGGCATACCTCTACAACCACAACGTTACCCAATTGGACATTTTAGAAATGCGTTTACTCAGTCATACCTGGACGCCGTTGGGTTTTTCACTTCATTGTCTATTGTAATATCAGTTTATACATTAATGTTGGCGAGTTTCGATCGAATGGCAGCCGTGAGTCGTCCAATGTCATATAATCGTAGGAGAGCCCGGAATATTGCAAAGCATACATGTGCTATTCTTTGTCTAGCTGCGCTAGTTGTCGCTGTGCTGCCGATTTTCACATCATCTCTGAGATATGGACTGGTGGCATCAATTCTTATATCCTTGTTAGGGGGAGATGCAGTTATTTTCTACGCAATCACTATCATCATACCATTGGTGTTGGTTTGGATCACAACTATCATTTTGCTGGTTTACTCTAAACGACACACTCAAGTGAGACGTCAGATTTCTACTCTCACTGACGACCAAATTACAATCTCAGAAAGAAGACTTGTCAAAACGCTGAGTATCATGGTTGGTTCATTTAGTGTTTCTTTGTTACCAGCAATTATTGTTTTATTGGTCTCTATGTTTGTTGATGATATTTACTACGATGATCCAGAATATTTAAGCAAGACATCAGCTACAATCTACACAACGTCTGAATTTGTGAGCGTTGTTATATTGAGTACCAACAGCCTATGGAATTTTTTTATTTATAACTCCAGAGATAAAGAATTTCGTAAATCAGCTAAACAGTTGCTAAATGAAAATTGCCCTAATTTTGGATTCTCGAAAATGTGGCGGACAATGAAGTACAGGGTTGCGAAAAGAAGGCTAACTGCCGCTTCCATATCAACTGGAGTGATATCTATCAAGACAAAAAACAGCACATGCAGCGAACTTGAAAAACAGGCCAATAAAAATACGGCAACCAACTCAACGGAATCCCTGCCAGAAGAAAACAATTCACGTGGCAAAATCGAAAACAATAACAAGGAATCTAACTTCGATCCAAATGAGGATTCAACATGGCGTTCGTTTGCAGTGAGTGAGGGGAATGGTTTTTATTGCTCAGTGATGGAAAATATTGCAGAAAATATTGAAAAAGATGGTAGAATTGCTACAACAAAGCAATGAGACAACTATTTACGAACTAATGGTTCGAAATTTTGCATGAAAAATGTGTAAGTCAAGTTAATCAGCGGTCAAGTAAGAGGTATAAAAGTCATCTGTCAGCAGCTGTACAAGACGGTCTTGTGGGATCTGCAGGTTGCAATCGCCAATGTTGAGTCAATATTCGTAAAAGCGAATGAATATCAAATAAAATCAAACAATTTCTCAAACTTGGATAAAATTGTTTTATATCAATATTGTCACTGCATATTTAGTACTTTGAAATTTTAATATATGCATTGTTTGTAAAGAAAGGGGAGTTTTGCACATGTTTACACCACTACTTTATATTCCTGTTGGGAGAAATGATTACCATATTTCTGAATATAGTTATCCTAGAAGCATTTACCACATGCTTGCAAGTACCCATCCATAACACACTCACTGTCTTAATTTGAAATTTAACTGCAGGAAAAATGACCAATAAAGAGTACACACAAATGTCAAGGTTTGAACTTTTGTATGTATCATAGTTTCCCGCACTGAATTTCACTACCTCCAAAGGATTCCATCTAATTTCATTTATTGCGAAGGATTTCATATTTCACACTGTTTTGTGTTTTATATTTTTGAGTATATTTAAAGATAACTGATGTGGTTCAGCAATATTTCGAAAGATAACCAAAATAATCTTTGTACACACGCGTTACAGCTCTCATGAGAAGTTCAAAAAAGACTGACAAAAAAAGCTTTTTCTGATGAATCTTGAAATATTTTGAAATCTGTTGTTCATGTGATTATTTTCTTTTGCTTAGTCAGTTCTGTAGTGCGTTACTTGCTGTTACCGTGTGTTATATTCAATATCGTTTCCATATCCAAAATGTCTCTTTTTTGTCTGGGAGATATTTTATACCTATTCTGGTTAATAAACGAATTCGTTTGATACAAAGGAAAGCGTTGGTAGGTCATAACAGTCTGTTTTCGCTGTCTCAAAATTATAAAATTTTCAAAATAGTATTGCGATTCAATTCTACTTAAAGAATAAAGACTAAGAGGGCTACCGTAATATGCACAAACTAGTCAAGCTGCTTCCTTCTTTAGGCACCGAATAAGTGTAGCGAGGATATCTGATGGTGAGGTATATTTATTGTGAGGAGTAGGGTACTTATAAATTTGCAAACCAGTCGATTCGATCTTGCTCTGTCTAAAAATACGTTTCACACACTTTCTAATAAGACTAATTATAAGGCAAAAAGATAAATAACATTTTATACGTAAGATTACATTGGTATATATGAAAACGGTTAAACCATTCAATGAATCTTAATTTTCCAGGACCAAAAATGCAAATCGTTATAAATCAAGGCTGTGTTTATAAACATTGAATAATCTTTTCTTTCATGGTGTTATCTGAGTATAGGTAATTGCGTTTTACTAAACGTAGAAACATTTATGAAAAGAAAAGAGAAAAAAAATAGCATAATAATAAGAATAAAAAAATAGTTTTTAATTTACTTTTTAGGTTTCTAAAAACTTCATGTTGAAGGGTTTCAAAAAACGACAATTATTTTGATTTCACGTAAACTTGGTTGTTAAGCAACTACACAAATAAAATTATGATTCAGTTTCAAAAAATTCTTTTTATATTAACCACGTTTTGCATAAAAGTGAGACATTACGATACGATTGTTTTGCAAAATGTCATCACAATGCCGACAAACTCACTTGGCATTTACTGTCCCTCCTATGCTGATTTTTATATTATTTTTTAATGAGCATTGAAGATAGAATTTGACATTTTTAGAATGAGTGACATGTTGAGTTAGAAATATAGCACAGGCAGAAAGAACAGTCATCTGATTGTGAATTATAGGACATGGTTATAATGACATTACTCGTACATTAAATTTGTGTGGGGTGATGAATATGGCGGACATATTAACCTCACTCAGTATATTCAAAACCTTTCAATGTTGTGGATCTTTTGCGCTGAATCTGGCAATAACATAAATGAAGTTTTTACTAACTGAAAAGTCACGTGTGTTTTCACCGACTGTGTAAATGAACCTTGAGTGGGATTTAATCACAAAGATTAGTCGATCATTCAGATATTATGCTTTTTTTCTACAGGCGCATATTTCGTGAATCAAAAATTGTTCAGTGGTTTCCAATGAGAAATTGGCCATCGGTTTGGCTACTATTGAATTTGGAGATGGGAACTGTGAATGATGTTCATTTCAACCTTCAAAACTGTGTTTCAGCTATCCATTGATTCATGTAAATGGCTTCGAATGATTCGAGTGTTTAATCAAAAGCATATCATTCTTCTTTGTTTCAAATTAAATTTTGTTTTTATAATTTAGTGCAATCTCTTGGCTTTATGTCACTTACGTGAGGGTAACTGCAGTTGTGCATGGTCTATTTTGGCGTTGCATGGATATTTGAAAATTTATTTAACTAATAGTTTGGCGAATTTTTTTTTAAATATATTAATATATATATACATAAACATATAAAAATTTTAACGGATACATTCTTCAATTTGCAAATGGTATTTCTATTTATATTCAATGTTAAGTCGTAAAACAATTTTAAAAATATACTTATTATGTAAACCTAATCTTTAGGGTATTTCTCGAAGTATATGAACCAAGATGGCGGACACCGGAACGTAGTATGTGTACCAGGTTAGGGTTGGTCCATAATTTTATTCCAATTTCCTTTATTTAGTTCCATTACGAGTTCGGGAACTAGCCAAGTGACTCCCGTAGTATTTGTACCTGAAATTATGGCCTAACCTGGTACTAGGGATGGGCCGGGATTCGGATTCGAGTCGAATCTAGGTATTTTTCGGATTTGATTTCGAGTCCACGTCATTTTTACCGAGTCTATAATCAATTCTGTTTTTACTTATTTACGTCTATATTTATACTTTTGCCTCTATAAATCTCACTACATACCTTAACTAGTTAAAATTCAAGGTTAGATCTGTAACAATATCCCTCGTGTGTATCATAAACACTCCTAATAAAAACGACAACAGATATCCAGATAATATAACGCAAGTTAAAAACTATTGATCGCTTATAACAATGATGTTGCGCCATGCGCCTCCAAACTATCTATCCTTTTTGGTATAGACGCAATATTTTTGAGTTTTTGATTAGCGTAAAAATGAAACATGCTCTGGATCAACCCAATGGGGAATCTCATCAATATCTTTTTTAAATCGAATTTATTACGTGCAATTCTTTCTCTAAAAAAAGAGCAATAGAAAGCATGGACAGTTTTAGAACGTTTACATGAACTACTGAATTGCACGCACATTGTATTGACGACGAGTGGCATTTCTATACCATTTGAGCACGTGATATAGTAACTTTACGACTAGAAATATCTGGAATTATGGGAAAGCATTGTAGTCAAAAGCTTTTTATTTTTCATATTGACATGTAAGAATTAGTGAATAGCCGCCCAGAATTGACGCAAGGTGGTGGGCTGGAAATCCAGTTCACTGCCAAGGCGCACATTGACCCACTTTTACGTTTGTATTATGGCCGCCAAAAAGAGGAAAAATATATTTTTAAAATGATTCAACAGCTATCTGCGGAACCATTAGGCAAACAATATGAGCTACTACGTAGGTTTGTGAGCGCACGATGCTTTAGCATGGTCAAAAACGTGTTTTTCTGCATTTACATTGTGACGTCACGGACTCGGAGGATTCGATTTAAGTCTTTGAAGCACTACTCGGATTCGTGGAATCTCTGCAACGCCCCGGACACGTCCCATCCCTACCTAGTACACATACTACGTTCCGGTGTCCGCCATCTTGGTTCACATACTTCGGGAATACCATTTTTTTCTGACATTTTTTGACGTAATGATAAATTTGGTCAAGTTATTTATAATATCGCTGACACGAAAAGTAAGTATTCGCCTGACAATACAAACATTTTTTTGTTTCTTTAAATATTAGAATGAAAAACTGTTTTGCTTGAGGGCGATAATTGAAGATAAATCTTAGATTCAGGGTCATTAGATATAAACATAACTGATGGCATAAACATTCATTAGATTAAAAATAGCTATGCGTACGTAATACTTCCGATTTAAAATTTTGTTTAGTATGGGTGAATGGTGCTTCGCGATCATTATTCTTGAAATTATGTTTAGTCGAACTTGGGAAACGTTGCAAATTCTCAGTTAAATGATAGTACTGTGCTTAATTGTATGTTTGTATAAAAAAGTCTGGGTATTCTCCCCAAAGAATTTTAATAATACATTTTTGCTCATTTTTAAGAATCTAACAAAACGAATGAATAAATAGCTTTCGAAGCAGTTGGATACTCTGAAGTAATTTTTCGAGAATTCTAAAATGAGCCGATATCTGTTCATTTCGAGTGTCATGTGGACTTTGTTAGTAGTTTGCGAGTTTCAATCTTCATTTTGCATAGCCAGTCAACATGAAGGTAATCTTGTTGATACAATAAAGATTTTAGATTCTGAAATCGAGGCATCTGGACATCTTGATGATGACATTGAAAACGAGAATAGCACTTCTTTCTCCGCAGACAATTTAAAAAATTATAATTGTCGATACATCCCTAACGAAAGAATCTCCAATCGTACCGAGGAGTTAGAATGTTGTGAATACATGATTAGAAGATATTACGCAAAATGGTATCAGGGTAGAGCGTATTTAACCACTTTCCTAGACAATTTAAAACACTGGAAATGTCCGCAACTCAAAAGGCAGTGCAAAAAAAGATTTTTCGACGTTTCACCTTTCACAAATATGGTTTACAACAGAGTTTGCGACGAACAGAAATACCGAAATGTTTGTTTTAAAACTGTATCAAACTTACAAACCACAAATTCGTCGAAATTCGACCAAAACTCTTCTTTCACGACAATTCCCGACGCACAGTGGCACGAATTGGTTCGGAAATTGTACTCAATGAACATGACATACGAAGAAATAAACCAGCCATGTACTCAAGTTGCATTATTCGAAGGAGCTCGTGGAGGTCCTGGGCGTTATCACGAGTCTGTCCAAGTTATGGTCCCATTCTATGGCTTCGTATGGTGTGGTTACGATGCCGACACAATATACGGAAGAAAGATCTCAGTTTGGACGTGTATGCCTACGGGGTAAGTAAAATAAAATTTTTAGGTTCCAAAACTAACAAAGTAATGCTCAAGTACGTTTTGGTGCACATACTACGTACTTTTCGTATATATACGGTTTGTTATAACAGAGAACTGAAGCGTTCACCTGTAGCCTAGAACAGTCCTCCATGTGATTTGTCTAATTACTATAGACCGGGGGTGGCCAACACGTCGATCGATCGCCACGTCTCGAGTAGTCGATCGTGCCTTGAACCAGTTTCATGCAGCGGATGTTGTTTGTATTAAAACATGAATATTACTTACGGCTAAAAAAATAAGGGGGGGTTAGATCTGAATTGTATGATTTGAATAAATCTCAAATAAATGATGAAACTTTTAATAATCAAATTAACAAATTAAATGTAACACGAAAATAATACAAATTTTTGTGTCGATTTCATTAGGAAAGCTTCCAAAGAACCAATCATATTGTTAGCGGAAGATTTTTTTGTATGCGTGTATGCAGTTATCTGTATATTCAGCACTCTTTCGTTTTTGTGTATGACTTTATTATCGATCATTCAATCGAGAGCTATTTTGACGATTCCAGTCATTCGCGGTCGAACGCAGGTTGGCCACCACCCCTGCTATAGACATTCGACACAACTGTAAATTTATATAATCTACGTAAACATGATTATTTGTGATCTTAACAAATTACGTCAGTTTGCCGTGCTATTCGACATTGCGTCCTGGTACACGGTTCCGTGATAAAAATTCCGGCAGGTTTCTGTTTTTCCGTTCTGTTGTTGTATTGTGCTTGAATTGTTCGAGATTTGTATATGTTACGGCATCGCAAAATCAATTACATCGGTGCAACTTCTAATGAAGTTTTCAAAAGATTCAAAAATTTAATATCGAAAGATAAGCGACTATTTGAAAGATAACGAATACTATATACTGTTGTGACGGGATTGCAAATTCTTTGCCATTTTTTTTGAAAAAACAATATTCCTCTCAATGTTTTTCGCTAATCTGATAACGACAATAACGTAATAACCGACCTTGCTTCAACCCATCGTATATCAAGACTACCGGCATTGTGTAACGAACTAACGAAATAATTGCCACAAAACATAATAACGCTACAAAAATTACTTCAGTATATCTATATTTTGATAAATTGTATTGACAAGTTGATTTTTTATGTACTTACATTGATAAAATTTAGTAAATTTACATATATATATATATAAAAGTGTCAGGTATGACCCGAAAACACTGCTTCGGGATAAGGAACCTTATGCTATTTGACATCTCTATAAAAATTATTTTAAACATATTTCCCCTAAAATACAACACGCTTAATATTTATTGTTCAATGATTTACATAAGCATCCCATCGATTTGTTTAATTAGCGAAATATTAAAATATTATACACTTTTCATTACGTTAGTGCAGCGGTTCCCAAACTATGGGTCGCGACCCATTGGTGGGTCGCAAGAGGAATCTCAGTGGGTCGTGAAAAGATGTAGAAAGCTTTGATTAATTATACTGGTTATTAGGATCGATGGCAAAGAAAATTTAAAAGCAAATTTCGAAATAAACTGCAACTTTTCAATTTTTGACTACTAAAACTATCTGAAATTGAAATAAATGTCAAGTCTATTACGGAAAATAGCAAGAAACAAGCTCATCTTTCTGACTAGATTCACTGAAAATTAAATTTGAGAAAATAAATTTGTTTCCTCCATCAATGTTTCATTAATTTATTAAAGTTAAATGGGTCGCCATAAGCTGTGGTAAAAAATAGTGGGTCTCGACACGGGGTCACGTGGGTCTCAATAGTGGGATGGGACACGTGGGGAAAGTGATACATATGTGGTACAAGTGGGGCACGTAGGGTAAATTGGGCACAACATGAAAGTAGATGTAATAAATTGCTATGAAGTCAGCATTCTGCAGCGATTGGCTCTACATTTTAAGTGCGCTTGAAGATATATTTATCCGTTCGTATTAAAAATGGATATATATTCAACAATGGTCAATTTTAAATGTCTAACCATACCCCACAACAGCTGATCAATTATATCATGAGAAATTACCTAATGTTCTGGTAATCTGTAGTAAACTCGGGACAAACTAATAACATATTCAGTCATAATATAATATATACATTTCAAATCAGATAATGTTCTCATACCTGCGCCCGATTATTAGAAGATCTTATCATTATTATTATTATTATAAATATAATCGTGAGAAGAATTATATAAACCTGAGAAAGGGGATTAAATGGCTTTATCGTGGGTGTTAAAAGGTTAAAAGCAATGTATAATAAACTGTAAACTGAGGGAATTATCCCAAAACTGTTTACAGATATTACAACATGGTGGTAATTATGTTTTCGTTTAAGTACGTAGTGAGAATTTTCCATCAGATAACAAAAATCGAAATCCATTGTCAGCTTTTTATTAGAAGTTGAGGTCAAATATGGTGCGTTTAGTAAAATACATAAATTTTACAAATTTCTGAAAAATTTGAACGGTCCTAGATTTTACCTAGTTATTTTTAAGGTGCAATTTATTATATATTCTACAAAAAATTGAAGTACAGTAAGCCACATCTTTTTCACATTAAATCTTTATATTTAAAAAAACAACTATACTGCTACTAAAAATATAAAACTACGTGTCAATTTTCAAGATCAGTCTACGAAAATGGTCAGAATATTAAACAATAAAGTAACTTCATATACATTCATATGTTGTCAAATTTTAAGGGAAAAAAGTGTTATGAGCAGTGAAACAATTGTGTTGTTTAATATCTGTAATCCCAATTGGAGCAATCAGAGTTTTATGTTTTGAGCACTCCAATATACATTTGACGGGTTTGTGCATCTTTGGTATAAACACTATTATTGGAAAAGAATGCTGAAATAGAGTCGACTAAATCTCCAAATTAAATCATCTTTTTAACGTGAGTTTCAACTCACAACAACTTAGTGAATAGATAAATAAGTATAGGTGGTGCGTTGTTATGATAGCTCAAACTATAGTACTAGTTCATTGAAATTGGCCATTGTACCCTAAAACATATTTGAAAAAAGATTGTATAAATATTGAGCATCATTATTAGAGCTTCATTCATTGATATTGTGTCGCCATATTTTCTTGGATCGGTTTTGGTTAATTGATGTCCGATAAAAATATACCGTTAGTGCGAGTGAATGAATACTTTGATTTGTAATGAATGATCGCATTCGATCTGTCCTTTGTTTCACGACTGGCATCATCCAAGAGAAAATTATGAATTTATATTGAGACGTGATAGTTTAATCAACGCATGAGCTTTGTTAGGCAGAAAAGGTAGATTATTTATGCGAAGTAAAAATTCTGTCTGACATTTTTGTTGTCACGCATGGAATTTTATTGTCTTGTGTGCCAACTTTAAATTCCTATTGCTAATATAATATTACGAGATTTCTCTAAACATTTTATTTATAAGTATGAGCTGCATTTTGTGAATAAACATGTTGTTCCTAGTTCTCTAATCGTATTTGCTACAGAACCTTACATTATACCAACAGTTATAAAAAAGATGAGACGTATCATGAAACTACTCGTACTACTTTTGCACATACGCTGATTATCCATACCCCAACCACCCTAATCGACAAGAAGCTCCAAATTTCTTTGGCATTCACAAGTTATCGTTTTTTTTTTTTCAGATGCAGAATCGGAGTAGGCATTGCTGCATTCTTGATTGCTTGTCTCGGTATCCTCACGTTGCTGGCAAATTTAATGGTGATCGCGGTTTACGGGTACAAAAAAAACATGAACAATAGCCAGACTGTATACAGAGTAACATTAGCTATTGGAGACACTTTCGTCGGGGCTGTAGTGTTTCCGACATATATTTACTCACTTTACTTACTGTTTTTGGCGAGGTCATACATGGGGGATTACGTGAAACCAATGAAAAATGAGAGCGTCAACGGAATACCTCTACAACCCCAACGCCACCCAATTGGACAGTATGGTAATACGTATTCTCGGTCGTACCTAGACGCGGTTGGATTTTTCACTTCCTTGTCTATTGTGATATCAGTATATACTCTAATGCTGGCAAGTTTTGATCGCATGGCTGCCGTGAGTCGTCCCATGTCATATAATCGTAGAAAGGCCCGGAATATTGCGAAGCGTGCATGTGCTATTCTTTGCCTGGCCGCGTTAGTTTTCGCTGTATTGCCGATTTTTGCATCCACGATGAGGTATGCACTCGTGGCTTCGATTTTTGTATCTTACTCAGGAAAGGCTGTAATTTTTTTGTACGCTATCACTATGATCATACCATTGGTACTGGTGTGGATCACGACTGTCATATTGCTGGTTCATTCTAGAAGACACACTCGAGTACGACGTAAGATCTGTTCTGCCATCACTGACAAACAAATTACAAATACAGAAAGAAGGATGGTGAAAACATTGAGCATCATGGTTGGCGCGTTTACTGCTTCCTTGCTTCCATCGATTATTGTTTTGTTGATTTCTATGTTTGTGAATAGCATTTACTACCGTCTCCCTGAATATTTAAACAAGACATCAGCTACAATCTACATAACGTCTGAATTTGTGAGTGTCGTTATACTGAGTACCAACAGCCTATGGAATTTTTTCATTTATAACTCTAGAGACAAAGACTTTCGTAAATCAGCTAAACAGTTACTGAACGGATGTCGCCCTAATTTGGGATTCACGAGAATTTTGCAGACACTGAGGCGCAGGTATGCGAAAAGAAGACCATCTGCCGCTTCCATAATAACTGGAGTGGTATCTAACAAGACAAAGAGTAGCACATGCAGCGAACTTGAAGATCAGGCTAGTAAAAAAACGGCTACAAATCCAACCGAACCCTTGCCCGAAGTAAAAAACTCCCACGCTAAAATTGATAACAATAACAAGGAATCTAACTTCGATCCTAACGAGGATTCAACATGGCGTTCGTTTGTAGTGGATGAGGGGAATGGCTTCTATTGCTCGGTGATGGAGAAAATTGCAGAAAATATTGAAGAACATGGTAGAATTGGTAAAGCAAAGATATGAGACAACTATGTCTCATCTCCAAACGGGGTAATATCAATAAATTCTTATGAAGAATTTGTAAATAAAATGAATGAACTTTATCTGGCTACAGCTGTGCAAGGCGGTTTTGTGTGATCTGCAACAACAGATTTCCAATCAAATATCAAACAATTGCAAAACAGTTGAATTCGCCAATATTGAGTCAATATGTGAAAAAGCTCAAATTCAACAAAATATAATGAAATCAAAGCAATTGGTCAACTTCGAATAAAAATGCTTTGTATCAATATTGTCACTGTATATTTTATATATGTACTGTTTATAAACAAAGGAAGTTTACGATATTTACAAATGTTGGCAACACTTTTAATTCTTTTTATTGGAAGAAAAATTAGATAAACCCGGAAAGCGAAGATCGGTTATGACATCTCAGACTCGGTTATACCGCATATTGGAATAGTGCGCTACTTCAATCTGCACAAACTAGTCTAGCTTTTTTGCCCAGTTATCTAAGTAGTATTATGTGCATATCTGATGGTGACACAGAATCGTGTCACCCCGTATCAAGTAGATTAGCAAATCTATTTTTATATTGTTTATAGTTGCCTTCGTAATGCTTACGGCATTTTATCTGATTTTCTGTGACGACGTCGCATTGTGGCACATTCAACATCCAAGTATATTCATGATAAATTGATTCAAAATCATCTATTTTTATACTATTTGATATCCAAATATTATGTCAGCAGTTCTAGATAAAAATTTAAAAATTAGATGTAACACGGACAATAAAGTTCGAATACTTTTGTCTAAAAAAATAGGATAGTTCGATATCAATAGAAAATATCATTAAAAATATATACAATATAAATCATTTTGATTACTACGTTGGCTTATATTAGTCCTACACAGCATTGTTAAGATATTTATCAAGAAAGCGATGCTCGAAACGGTACGGGTATGCCATCTGTCGCAATAGTCTACCGGCACCGTATCGCAGCTGAGAAGCAGATTTCAACCTACGCGAAAGCAAAGCAGTACCGCCACGAGCAGCGCAATTTTTTATTTTGATGACGCCACCGCACACATAAAACGAATCCCATAGAAGGCACAGAAAATTTTGAAATAAATAAGAATAATAGCCTTCCAGCAAAAAGATCCAATTTTCAATGAGAAAAGAGATTTTTTCACAAGACGAACAAAACGATCCATAGGGCCATGTCGTGTCCAATAAGCCACATTAAGTATATAACCACAGAGTGAAAATTATTGTCGTAAATTTTATTAATATGAAGTGTCTCGTGCAATTTAAAAATAGAAATGTATATTTTCAAGTCAATAAAGGACATGTTGTATGAATGAGTGTGCTTTGATGGAGTGCTTTAATTTGAGGTGTTAAATCAGCATTTATGGCCACCTAGGTCTGGAGGACGCTATGGGCTTATTTGGAAACGCTGAATACCTACACGTTGCATACAGTGGAGTAGCCAGGAATTTTCAAAAAGGGGGGGGGGTCTAAAATTTATAAAAGCCAAGTTAGATCGTGTAACAACTATCATTTTATATTTGATATTGCACAATAAAGTCATATTTCTGTATTATAAATAGCAATATTTCGAAGCTTGAAAGAATTTTGAGACCCGCGAGACTATTTAAACCCACGTTTTCCGGCCTCTGACATATGCAACATATATCGTTGAAGGTGTAATATCTTTATCAATCTTGGCACTTGAGAGTGGATCATAGTGTTTTGTGGTTAAAATAACGATCATGCTAAAAACTATGAGATGACATCAACTAAAGCAGTACAACTGTCAAAGGAAATACACTAAATTCAAAGACTAAAAGAATAACAATTTAATGACACATCAAAGCAAATTGTGACGTAATATAAACTGTAGTGTCATCTTTCGAGAGATAATTAAATATCAGGTATCCCGAAAAACTAACATTTACTTTTCTCTATTGTCTGGCATTGTCTATAAACAAGAATATTTCCATGTCTCGCTTTTGTTTTATTGTGTACGTTGTTTTAACCTCCTCCCTTTAGGTTACAATCTATTTTTCCCATTGTGGTCCGTGAACAAATCATACTATCAAAGTATGTTTTATCCAAGGGACATGTTTGAAAAACCAAAGTCTCTGTGATATTACTCTTTTCATGTACTGAACCAAACAATATCAAAACATTGATTGTTTCTATGACCAATTTCTGATGACACCTGCACCATCTCTTTGTAAAATAGTCGGACGTTTCAAATGCTTACAAACCCCGACTAGTCCATACATCAATACAAATATTTTTAACCAAGATATTATTTTTTCTAGTCTAGCATGACTCGTACATAACATACCAAATGAACAAAAAAGTCGATGGAGAATATACTTATCGATCCCTCACCAGTTTTTGATATTCTGGATATATATATAGAATATCTGTATAAATACAGAATAGCTGTGGTCGATTTTTATTCAATTTTATATTCCTTGTCGGCGAGTAGTATTTGAAGTATAAAATTGTCACAATATATCAACAAACGAACGGCGTGCAACATTTTTGTCATTGTGTTCGGGGCGTTGCACCACACACAAATAATTGTAGTTTTGTCACGATAGGTCCCTTGTTTTATTTTTTCTTTCTTTCCTTTCGGACAATCGAGAAATGTGATAGTTCTACCAGGTGCTTGGTGGATATTGGGGTTCGAAAGGGAGAGACTGATTTTATTTCTAATATGTTTCATAGTTTAAAATTTAGCGAACAGTTGACTTCTAATCATATTTGAAGAATACAAGATACGAAATCATGATAGATGAAATATATTTTAGGTATTAGTTTCGTAAAGCTACTGAAAATGGAAAAGAAAGTATATATAGGTAGAGAGAGGTGGAAACACACCTGCGACACTCTGGTGGGGTTATGAAAACAATCATTGGAATTTCCAAATGGAATGTGAAAAAATGACTTATTATTATCATGCGTTGGTGTCGAAACATCAGTTGGAAAGAACAATAAGAGTGATCAGTGGCCGCTATAGTTTAATGCTATCGAACTGAATATTTTTCTACTTAACATACTTTAAATTTACGCCTCTTCGTCGTTATTTGCGCTCTGAATTCCATTTACATCAGATCCCTTATTAAATTTTTTTCTCAACATAGCCTTTTAAAATATGTGAATTGTCTTAGATATAATATTTTCGTTCAGTAAGTTCACCCGTAAATTATACCATAACAAATTTGATATACTGTTCTATATGAAAATTTTATTACATGAGAAATATTATTAACAAGTGACGAATGCTTTGATATTTTTAAATCTAATATACAATCATATTCAAAAATAGCTGGTGACGGCGTTTAAGTACATTTAACAACATCTATATTTTATTTTGCAAGCTACCAGATTTTTTTTTACCTTTTACAGTATTTTAATTAAAATGTATAGATGTAGCGTTTGCTTGTTTGAAACGATATAACGCGACAGATATCGCGTATTGATGTTCATGACAATCGGCTTCCTGGAGTCGAGACAATGACGATTTCTCGAATGAAACGTGAAAAGAAACTTACCTGTGTTCTCAATAGCAAAAGTTCGTTGGGGCCGAGCTTTCTTATTCGACAAACTGTAACCAAAATGAATCCCATCAAAATGGACTATAGTGGGGCCAAAATGACTACACGTGGGGGGAAATCGCATTCAAGCCTCACTTCTTTGATATTATGCTTCGTTATTCTTTCCAAAGCTGACTTGTCAACAGCATGCCCATCCATGTGTACTTGCGCATCGACGTCGGTGGATTGTACTCACCAAAGTTTGTCTTCAATTCCGGCTGGAATTCCAACAGATACTGTGACGTTAGATATGCGTAACAATCAAATCGCAACGCTCTCAGCAGATGCCTTCGCGGGATTGACAAGTCTTGAGTAAGTAAATATACTAGAGTTGTTCTCAGACGGTAGAGCGCGCCCACAAGGGGGGCGTAGACAATTTTTTGAGGGGTCGTAAAGCTCATTAAAAATAAAAATATTTGTTCGATTCGATCTTGTCCGCCTCATTTTGGATATTTACATTTCAAAACTTTTCATTTATTTCATTATTTACGTTCTATCCACGTATTTTCAACGTGTTTTTTGAAAAAAACATACTATCGCCTTACTATTTGTTATTTGTAGCTTATTGTTAGCTAGTTATTTTTGTGGGGTGCGAGACTCAAAGTCAAATCCCAAAAAGGGCGCGGCTTAAAAAGGTTGGGGACCACTGTACTAGATGCTATTCATATAAATCATGTTGCAACATCTTTTCTGGAACTAATAATCGTTTTCAAATTTGCTTGTCGGCTACATCAAATTAATTTGTGAAATATTAAACTCCAATTTCGGGTGTGCGATTACGGAATATCTAGTACTCGGTTATATGTCTCGACTAAAATAATAAACATACCTCGATCCTCCTTCATATATTTCGTCTGGTAGCGAATGCAAACACCGATGTTAAAAATGTCTTCACAATGCAAAATAATGGGTCAGCTTAACTTTATTCGTGTTGACTGTATTCAAGTTGTAAAATTGGTCCAACTTGTGAATGGCTTCATGTTTATTGATGTGTTCTAATTACATGTTTCAATTAATTAAACTAGTTCACCAAATTGTGAACAGTTGAGCGTAGCTTAAAAAACACTAGTTCAAAAAGTGAGCTTTTTACGACTGGTCAACAGTCTGCATGCCAAAACAATTGAATCTGTTGGATAACGATTATATGACTTGGATAGGTGCAAATTTGAGAGTTTTTCACTTAATCTACTATGGAATTCTATGTTTATAATTTTAGAAAGTTATATCTCGACACAATCCAGTTGGTAACTATTGAAAGTGGAGCATTTAACGGACTCACTGCTCTAAAAGAATTGACAATGACGGCAAATAGTATCACCGCACTACCCGATAGCATATTCAGTTCGTTGGGATCGACACTCATAAAGGTGGGTAACATAGAATAACATAATGAAAAGTGGGATAACATTAAGGTTTAAGTAAAATTAAAGCTAACTTTAACTAGTAGTGAAAACTATTCAATTTTTAGATCGATCTGAAAAGTAACCAACTCAATACATTATCTGCTTCAACTTTTTCTGGGTTAACAAACCTGGAAACTTTGGATTTATCAAGCAATCAACTGACGACATTGCCTGCAAATGTCTTCTCGGATTTGTCGACACTCACAAGTCTAGGTGGGGAATGATATGCCTCAGACTATTTTCATTTTTTGAGAGAAAGATCTCAAGTTTAGCTGTCTCAGCGTATTGTATATGAAAAAAACATTTGCAAAAACAAGTCCTTAAATATGAGTGTATATTGTGATAATGAGGCCATTTGTTTTCAATGTTAGATCTTTCAAGTAACAAACTAGCCAGCATACCAACTGATTCACTCAACGGACTGACAAGTCTACCTCTTCTCAAACTTGATTCAAATCTTATCACAAGTATGGATGCAGGTGTATTGGCGCCTCTAACTTCTCTGACCAAGGTGCGTAATTTTTAAGTTATCGCACATATTCGCGAGAAAGCGACCACTTATTTTGGTATTTCAGAAGCGTCAATAAAATCTGCTGGTGTTGTATACGTGCAATTCGTAACAAACCATCACTAAACAGCTTAAAATAACAATCAATAATAGCTTCACTTTATAGGTATCAACTTAAATTAACATCTGAACCAAAATTTTCTCTCATACCAGGTTTCATTAGTTGGTAATTCTCTCACAACTGTACCAACTGGAGTATTCGTCGACCACAGCACGTTACAAGAAATTGATCTTCAGGATAATCAGATTACAGTCTTGAGTAGTACAATGTTTTCAAATCTTGCTGATATAAGGGTAAGTTACATTTGGGTCACGCCATTGGCTTTGTCTTACGTTGTGCACAATAAGACATGGAATTCGTTAGACATTATATTAATTTGCACCGCCGGTAAGGCCTAAAAAGTTGGGCAATTATTTCTGAAGTTAACATTTTTGTTACAAGTCAGTACAATATCATATTAAAAAGTTGGTTTGTTTCAAAATCGTAAAATTAGTTCTCTCACAATTTGGGAGAAACTGACATCCATTGTTTAACAAAAGTCTTTTGTAAGAAATAAAAATCAACTGTAATAACATTTCTGTCCAGTTGTGTTCATCAAAATCTTTTTATTTAAACTGCTTATTTTTTGCTTGAACATGTGTTTATTATTAAAAACAGGTTATAAAGTTACGTTCCAACCAAATTTCAAGTGTTGGAGTAGCAGCAACACATGCGTTTTTCAATATCAAAGCAACACTACGACAAATCGATCTTTCTAACAACCAACTCACACAGATATTTTTGTATCAATTTCTGAGTTTAACGAACTTAGAAATAATTGATTTGAGTCAGAACCAAATTACTTCAGTGGACCAAGGGTTCTTCACTCTTCAAGTAAGTTTTAGAAAAGATAAAACTTTGAATCCATATACGGTATATCGTATATGTTTCGAATCACTAATCTTGAAGAGTACAGGTTATCTAGTCTCGTGAAGGTGACATGTTATTCTTGATGGGGTTTGAGTCAATATAACAATAGTTTTACTCATGAAGTGATAGTGAAAAACCGACTGAGAGTAAAAACTCACACTCTTCGGTTCGACTATAGAAAACTAATTGTCTGCAAATCTAGATCCCATACCTGACTTGATGAATTCATAACAGCTGATGTGACGACATCATGTTGTTTACCGGAACCCAACCACCTTCGGCGGCTTAGTTGTACGTAGGGCTGGGCATTTCGAATCGAATAGTAAATTATTCGAATCGGTTCAGAGCTAAATTTCGAATCGCCACCATCTTGTTTTTATCTTTCCGCTAATGGTCGAGGTGAATTCCCCAATTTTTTTCTCATTGGAGTCATATTTTTTCAACGAAATTCTAACATATGACTATTTTCTGTAGTGAGTTATTGATAAAACGTATTTGTTATTCTGTGTGAACGCTCAGTAATCTATCTGGGTGATTTATTCTATGTCTTCAGTAATTCCTTTGTTGAGAGGACCAATTACTATAATAAAGTCGCTCACAATTATATATTTTCAAGTATTCGAGATTCGATTCGAAAAAAATTATTCGATTTGATTCTGAAATCACAAGGTATTCGAAAATGCCCAGCCCTAGTTGTACGATATCAATAACATATATATATATATCAATACAATCAAGGCCAATTTTCATGATACCAATAGCGATACTTTCCCTGTAGCGTGAAATGAAACATACTTTTTTTTGCTAAGTTTATAATCTTGGATTCACACTGGCACGAATACATTTCTGTACACTTCTTGTCATTTGTTTCAGTCACTCTCAACAATAAAGCTTCAATACAATCAAATATCATCTATAACTGCTCAAGCATTTGGACTTCAATCTCTTGTTACGGTTGATCTATCATATAATCAACTTACCACTATACCTAGTGATGCCTTTCAATCAGATCTGACAGCATCACTGGTTGAAAGTAAGTATTTTTTACTGAAAACAGATATTCTACCCCACTGATTCCGGGGGGCTCCCGAAGTATGCGAACCAAGATGGCGGACTTTGGAATGTAATATGTGTACTAGGTTAGGGTTAGGCCGTAATTTTAGGTATAATTACTACCGGAGGCTCTTGGCTAGTCTTCGAACTGATAATAGGACTAAAATAAGGAAAATTGGAAAAAAATTATCGCCTAACCCTAACCTGTTACCCATGTTACGTTCCGATGTCCGCCATCTTGGTTCGCATACTTCGGGAGCACCGATTCCGGTATCTATATTGTCCTCTACTCTACCAATGATACATTACATATTGCAGGTGAAAAGAGGTGCAAGTAGTCAGCCAATAATAGTAAAATCTACTCCAGAGGAAATTATGCCGGTCAGAATCGCACCGACTCCGCACTGATTCCGTACAATCGTGTACATGACTCTAAGATGTTATACCAATTAGCAATAGACAAATTTAACAATAAAAAATAATAAAAAGTCCAGTTCTGTCACGCGCGTTTTATTATGTCCCAATGCAAATGTATATGATGACTGGTTTGTGAAGTGATTTATCATCCCAATTTCGGTATTGGAGAAATGAAATATTTGTCATTATATTAGTTAATTTTCTCTGCAGCCGTTTATCTCAACGACAACCAACTCACTACAGTTGAAGCTGATGCATTTACGCATTGTCCAAATATTCGCACCATTGTATTGAAACGAAACTTGATCAGCAGTATCGTTGCCTCTTCTTTCTCTGGTTTAGAACAACTAAGGGTAAGTTTTACCAAATGATTTGGAAAATTAGGAAGCAGATTTGAAATATTGTCACCATGTGCATATTTCGATGAAGCATTCCTAGACACTTCGCCAATTTTTCACTGTTATGTTTTCGAAGTGCCACAAATGATGATTTTTAGTGTTGACTTTCCATCAATTGAAATGATATTGAATAGCCGCGCCGTATTTTTTTTATTCTACTGTTACTTTCCAGTGAGTTCAACTTCGTTTTGCAATTTAGACTTTGGGGAACTAATTATGGTATGTAATAAAACATGGAACCGTAATGTAAAAGCACTGCGAACTCTTATGGCGAATTCCACTTTTCAATCAATTGCTCTCGGTCTCTCACGTAGGGATCACTGCTTGGCATTTTGGTGTCATCTGAAACTGAATTAATACTGGTATAAATAAGAATATTCTAAAAATTATGAGAATATACTATTTATGAATATATATATAAATATATATGAAATAATAATATTGGTTTCCATATGGATATGTAATATATCGATTCTGTAACATTCATAATCTGAACACTCTATTTTAGACTGTTGATCTATCCAGCAATCAACTAACGTCTATCCCAGGCGACTCTTTCAAGGATTTACCTCGACTCACAAGTATCGACTTCACAATAAACAGGCTTGAATCAGTGCTTTCGGGTGCATTTACCAATCTTGCAGCCGTTGTCGAATTGGATTTGAGTTCAAACGTTATTCATACAATTGAGTCCGGAGCATTTACTTCAGTACCCGTTCTGGCAACCTTAACTCTCAATATCAATAAACTGACTGCTGTTCCGAAAACTGGTATCGAATCCTTAACATCATTAGTGACGCTAGATCTAAGCTCGAATCTTATTGAGGGTTTGTCGGAAGCAAACGCGTTTGGTGATCTGACAAGTTTGGAAACTCTCTATTTGCATGTAAGTATTGAACTTATTAATATTGCACGCACAAATCAACTCGAAAAACTGATAATAATTTGTCATCATTCAAAATACTATGTGATTGCCAATGTGTAAGATTCTGCTGTTTTGCACTTTCATTGAACCGTCACTTATTTCCAATGCACATAGATCTACATTCTGGGCTACATGTTCATAGTTGAACAATTGAGCAAAATAGGCAAACAGATGTTAGGCAATATCGTTGTATACAATACCTAAAATAATATATATACCGATATTTTTTTCTCCTCCCCACTTTGCAATAACAAGGAGCATGATGATAAACAATTATTGGCTGGTATGCAAGTATCTACACAATTCGTCTCATCATACTTTTACATGTATTGTATCTTAATAGTTTGGTGTTCATTCTACTTTTGGTTTACAGAACAACAGTTTGTCAAGTTTAGCCTCCGACTGCCTCGCCGGTTTAAGTGCAATAAAGAACATCACTATGTACGACAATTCAATTTCAGCATTATCAGCTTCATTATCCTCCTCAACCTCACTCTCTAGCTTGATCTCCCTCAATTTTCAATCAAATTCAATCTCTAGTATCAGTGCCGACGCTTTTACCGGATTCTCAGCACTACAAACGTTGATTTTACGTGGCAATTCGTTAACAACGATTCCAGCTACCACACTGGATGTTTGCCAGGCAACACTAAGGTAATTAATTATGTAGTATTCGAATTGTTTTTGTTGTCTGTGTGCTTTTTTGATGTAACAGGGTGTCCAAGGAAATTAAAAACCACACGCACGCACTTAGTATAAAAGTAAAATAATATCTCATAAGCACACTGTTATTTCTGCAAAACCGTTGTTGTTAGAGAGACAAATAATATTGCATTTCTTTTCACGAATTGATCAAACTTTTTTCATATCGATAGTTATTCTGAGTCCTGCTATAATCTTCGTGTGAGATCTGTCGTAAAGTGGATTGTTGAGTTAAATACATGAGCGTACTGCGAATGTCATCAACTCATATGTTACTATATATCGTCATATTTATTGTATACAAAAATTCATAAAAGAATAATTATAGTGAAATTTGATATTGCTGAAGGGCCCGTGGGAAAATGAAACGCGGGTCGTTCCTTGTAACAGATTTAAATAATAGTATGAATTACTTTTATACAAATTAATTATATAAATAAGAATAATCACCATTAAGACTGTTAGGGATAAAATATGGTTTCAATATTACGAAGTTGAAATACGGTTTATCAACAGTTTTAATTGCAACGAACATTCGGATTTCATTCATTGGTTAATTTAAAAATGCATCCATATATATGACAAATTTCCAATTGATTCCCTATTAAAAACTGTGAGCGCAAAGCATTTTAATTCAGTATATTATTTTCAATTCTAGTGACCTCCAACTAGATGAGAATAGCTGGACATGTGACTGTGATTTGCAATGGGTAATTGATGATTTTTCGAATGCTATCAATGGTGGATCATGTTCCTCTCCTGCGGAATTGGCGGGTAGGTATTGGATTCAGTAATTATATTGATATCCTTCAAATTAAGGGAAATGACAATAAACTATATAAAGTAACTGGTTTGATGTTAATTGTATTTTCCAATTAACATTATGAATAATTTTATAGGCAAAGCATTATCTGGAGCAGGCGCGATTACGAGTAGTGAGATATGTGCTCCGACTACCACTACGATGACTACAACAAGTAAGATTTTCATATGGCTTGAAAATAGCCAAGTAAATTACGATTAATAAATATATATATTACGTGTTATAGCAAAGCTGTTTGTATTTTGGTTATATGGTGCAGTAACAACTAACAGTATCCAAAAGCAATATGACAGAAAAATGGTTTACTTTACAACTAGTTACCTTACAACATTTGCCGCTAGTACAACCTCGCACCTCTGAATGTATTTTAGTTCAGTCTTATCAGATTTATAAATCTAATGTGTTTGTTATATATGCACTCGCAAATATAAAAAAAGACGCTGCTTGCTGAAAAGCAAGAAATCTAAAAATAAAGTATAACTCATCTTTTAAATATGCGCTACATCGCCAACAGTACACAATGAATAGATCTTTACGTTTTACGTATCCTAAAGTAACAGAGCCGAGTCATTTAATCTTAGTATATACTTTCCTTTTTTGATTAGTCCCAGAATTTATGATATAATATGAACACTGCCTAATTTTTTTAAACGTTTTACTTTTAGCGACTACTACAGTGATTGCACCGGTAGTGATCCACACACCATCTCAAGAAATTAATGTTAAAATCGGGGAAACAGCAACACTGCCATGCGTTTCATCTGGCATCCCTGCGCCTACAGTAGTTTGGACAACTCCTTCGGGAGGAGTCATATTTTCAACAGGAAAATATAACGTTGACTCCTCGACGGGTAAGTGAAAATTTATTTTTAAATGAACAAAAGAGAAATGGTCACATACATGGGCCCTGGAAACTGAATACGGAGAATGAATGACTAATACTAGTCTTAAATCATGGTACACCATGATTCAGTCAGCATTTTACATTTGTATATATCGGTACGATTGACGGACTAGCCCTAGCATATACTCTACTGTTTCAGGAACTCTCACAATAACGGGCATCACGGACAATCTTGCTGGATATTATGTATGTACAGCGTCAAACTCGCTCGGTGATCAAGCTTCCATTAATATTCGAGTATGGGTTTGGTTTCCTCCTTATATAACCAACTTCGTAGAAGCAGCAATCGTTTCAGATTCTGATGAATGTCACGCATTACCGTGCGATGTCAATGCTTATCCTGCAGCTACTTTTACCTGGATCGTTCCAAATACATCAACGATAACTGGAATTGAGTAAGTGGTTTCTTTCCTAGTACATAATTACACATCAACCGTTGCCAGTAACTCGACTCTCAAATAACGAGTTTTATTTTCAATGTGTGGTTGAAGCGTTTTTATTTGTGGTATTTATTCAAAATGGTTATTTCTATATTTATGGAATCAAATGGTAGTTCTATTGTACTTTTTGTAGCACTGGAAGTATCATTATGACTTCAACGGGAAAACTATATTTCTCTACACCAGCTGAATCAAGTACTGGATATTATAATTGTACTGCCAGTAATTCCGAAGGAAGCGTATCAAGAGAAGCATTTGCGTATATTTACAATGCTACGGAAGTAGTAAGTAACTTCAGCTGTAACTATTAATATGCGACTTGGTATTAGTTTGAGTTACAACTCACGATATATTATGCTGACGGACTTGTAGTATAATAATGTAAGGATGCTGTAGTGGGGGCTGATTTAACCATTAAGCGGAAGCAGCACGTGCTTAGGGCACTCGGAAAAGGAAGAGTCTCAGCGTTTAATCAAATGATTGGTCTAATTTGTCAAGCAATTCAGACCTAAATATTGGCGGCTAATCGGCCGAGTTCAGTAAACGGTAATAAAATCCTATGCCTTATATATGGGGAAAATAATGCTTTGCCATAAAATTGAATATATATATATTTGGCAATTTTGATTTTTAATTCGAACTTTAAAAAAAATTGTCGGCATGCGGAATATTTTTTCAATAATTTCCACAGAAAAAGTTGAACGACTGTCGCTTTTAATAGCATTACTGTTGAAAAGCGTCAGTCATTAAATGTTTTAAGTAGCATTTCATCGTAACGTCAATAAAGTAACGGCGAAATGCCATTTAAAGGTTGATCGACTGGCTCTTTTTAACAGTATTACTGATAAAAAGTGTCAGTCGTTAAATGTTTGAATCGCATTTCACCGTGACCCCCATTCCACTAAATTCCTGCAAATATATACAAATCGTGTTTTCCCACAACACTTCCATTCAATACATATCTGTCAATGCATTAAATGTTCGGATAGATCTTCATGGAATAAAAAAGATAAACTTACCATTGCATAAAAGAAATCTTAATTTTTAGAATGTAGATCCAGTTACTGTACTCGCCGCCGAAGGCTCATCCGTAGAGTTAGATGGATCTGTAGTTTTTTCTACCTCCGGTTTCGTGTGGTCACTTCCGTCTGGCAATCTTGTGATGGCTTCAATTTTACTGAGGGGTTCATCAAGTTCGACAGGGAGCACAGACAGCGGCACAAGTGACAATGGTAACACAGTAACTGACGGAAATACCGGGACAGATGGAGATAACGGAACTGATGGGAATACTGGAACAGACGGAAACACAGGAACGGATGGAAACACCGGAACTGATGGGAGCACAGATAGTGGGAATGGCGGAACCTTGTCAGTTGCTTATCGCATAACAAATAATGAACTTGTGTATTCAAGCGAATCTCTTTCGCAAGCCTACAGCGTAAACACTACCACAGGTTCTTTGATAGTACAATCCGTGACGTCATCATCCTCAGGAAGCGCCATTGGTGTTACAACTGGAACATATCGGCTTCTGACACCTCGCGGAACGCTGACATTCAACTTGGCTATTGACACTAACTCAACCGACGGTGTTGCTGTCTCTTCCAACTCAACTACAAATACAACAGTTGGTGCGGAAGCCATATCCGGAAGCGGTATTTCTACAACAGCCATATATTACATATGTCTCAGTGCTATTTTGTTTTGTATTGTATGCACTTTCCTCGCTTGTGTATATATTTTCCGCAAAGGAAAAAAGAATAAATATAAAGAAGCTGTCGCGACGCCAAAGGCAATAAAAACATATTAATCTTTTCGAAATTTCCTCTTGACAAGCCTATGACAATCAGGGCTTTGAAGAATAATCACACTGAATGATTCCAATAATCTCTCAAAAGCTCCGTAACTCTTGCTACCTCGCCGAAAATAGAATGTACCTGTACAGCACCCCGAAATAAATACAAATTACAGTGGTGCATTGCTGTTTAGTAATTTCCAGTATCCCTTTTTATTAGAAGTACAAGCATAATTTTACTTACTAGATGATCAATAGTGATTTCGTAGATTTTTTTCTTCCTTTATTTATTGCTTCTATCCCAAATATATTTGCACTACTGCGTACGAGTGGTAATAGCTTAGTTGAAAGAAATTTCTCCAGATAAGAACTTTGTCGGCGTGATGTAAGTCTCCCTGACCCCTGCAAAATTACTCCTGTACTAAAATTTTCGATGTTTATTTTGAGAGTTGGCGCTTACAAACTGATAGAAGATTCAAACACTTTTTGCAACCTTGCATTCACCAATAGCAGTCTTGTCCCTCTTCACGTATTGCGGCCTTGTGTACTTCTAAGCTAGCGATAGATGAATAAATGCCACTATAGGCGACGGAGAGGTCCGGCCACAACGTCGAAATAAGGATTTTCATACCCTTGCATAACAGAATGCAACTCTTGTTGTAAAGTTCAAAAATCGTGTAAAACATTTGATCCTTCACACTACCAATGAACGCAAGATAACTGAAATCATTTACGGCATTTTAACACAGAAAGAACTGCAAGAGCACCATTGGAAAATCTAATTTTCTCCGTTTAGGATCCGAGGCTCCAAAGTATACCATGGCAACTGAAATAGAGCCCTTCCCCCAAATGCGACGAAATATACGAAAATACGGTATTAGAAAGAGTAAAATCTTCATAAAATGCAAATAAAACATACAGCTCGCAAGATAAGATAAAAAACAACATCATTATCTGACAATGGTCGAGTTGATTGAATTGAAGATGGTACTCGGGCAGGTGATCTGAAATGTGAAGAAAGATATGACTTTTGATCAAAAACAAATTTCATCTCACAAGTATGCTAATCATTGTTACCATGACAATGAACCATGTTTCTGGCGATCAAATGGATGCTTTCTTTACCAGTAACAAATAGGTAAAGTCCATATCTCACCAAGTTCATTTCCTTTTCGGGAAGGAGATTCTCAATATATAAATGGCTGTTAGTAAATATACCTTCAAGATTGCATGCTATCTTTAGAAAATTGGGATATTTTAGTGAAAAAGCCCTCAAATTGAAAAATTCAATTCCTCATAAATAAGTTCACTACCTACTCATGTTTCCTCCTCATCATCTTCTTCATCTTCTCGAGTAAAATCATGAGGTGTGAATACATCTCTGAACTTTTTAGTGAAAATAACTTCATCATCTTTGACTAACACGCAATCTCTCCAATTAACTCTGTCTGGTACATTGAGAACCAACGCTCCACAAATAGCTTCCCTGCAATGAGAATTACTAGTTATTCAAGCAGCCTTCACACGAAATATGTGGAACATATGAAAACTTGCCAAGAACACAATTTATCATCTATTCACCTTGGTGAATTGTATGCTTATGTAGACACAAAACTTGGTTTAGTTGAAGCAATTCTTTTTCTTAACTACAGTACATTCACTACAAGTCTATCTTATACTATCTGACAATGCCTTAGCAAAACTTGGTTTAAATTTCCGCTCTTAAGTCCTCTACTCAGAGACTGTCTATTTTAATGTGATTGCATATTTAAACTAGTTTTTTGCTTCGAAGTCAGATTTCAGTGGAAAATTACCTCCCAAACTGCAGTGGAAAGAATGCTTTTATTGTATGCAACAATCTTGTACCATCTGGGAGTTCAACATGAAAGAACGGTTGTGAAGCTGACAGAATCTGGAAAATGATTAATTTGTTTTAATTGCTATGAGCTCCCCATATAGTCACAAAGATAGTCATGAAGGCATACTCCATGATTCACATACCAGGCATCCATAGTTAATTACTGTAAATTATTTTCGTAATGGCCATAAAATATGTTACATTGTTAGATGAGTTTTTCTCACAAAAGGTGAGATTTCAGTAAGATTTTTTTCCTATAATATTTTGAAAGTAAAAATGAATGAGTTGTGAGAGTGAGACCCAACCTAACAAGGCCATGTCACGCTGGAAGAATCGTATCTGTTATACATTCATTTTTAAACAACCCAAATCTAAATCAAGGATAATGTAATACTCCGCAAAAACTGTAATAACATTATGGAAAATAACCGATGCAAAATACCTGTTTTAGTTCTGTATTCTTTGGTATCTCAGCAATTTCTAGTGGTTGTGGTTTTCCCTGTCTGTCAGTATGCTGTTGACCAAGCTTGATAAATGCATTCTTGATTTGAGTTGACGATATTGAATCAGGAACAGGAACAACCTGGAATATGGAAATACATATTAAGACCGAAATATAGATATAAAACAGTGGAATAGACATCGTAGTAAAGCAGTATTTGAAAACCAGGGTTAAATACTTAGCGTCTATATTAATACATGTAAATTGTGAAAATATAATCAAATAACTCAAGTTTGCCACTATTATTGAATCTTCTACACCAAAAAATTGTTTTGCCAGTATTGGATTTGCTTTTATATATATTTATGGACAAGACAATCAAACTATTACAAGGGGATTCCTCAAGCCCTTGACTGTTTCATTGGGGTCCCACTCTATCAAAAAGGTTAGGGACCACTGTACACTAGAGTTTAAAATCTTTTGGAGGATAACGAAGGCCGCAAGTCTGTTTTAATTTAAGGGACGATTTTACATTTTCACTCTAACTAAGGCTCTGCACGAGAACCACTGATTCTATTGAAGTTTTAATTTAAGGGACGATTTTTCATCTTCACTCTGAACAAGGCTCTGCAGTGAGTGAGGCAGAACTGTCACATTATTACAACATACAGTCGTGATATCCTACCTGTATTTGCATATGATCAGTTCTATAATTTCTTTCAAAGAAGACACATTTCTTGCCAACATCTTTCAAAGCTTTTTTCAGAGATAGTTTGTAAGCAGTACATTCTAACTCTGTATCATCTGGTAAATCAAGTGATGATTGATGATGTGCTATTGGCAATATCATAATATGATCTTCCACAATTCCACCTTTCGCCATTGCCAAATAAGTCTGGAATAAATTTGAAATGGAATTCAGTACATTAGCATATCTTGACGTCTACTATCATTACATACATTCTATGAATACAATCACAGAATCTATCCTGCACATAATAACCAAACATATATGGCCCCGTAGCGGTAATAGATATGAGATGCCATTAATCAGAGAATTTAGTTAGAAGAAAATTTAAAATTTATGTTGTTAGAAATGTGTTCTATTTTAACAACTTTGTCATGCTATTACAATTACCATTAATTTCTAGTTTATTCTGTAAAACCTTAGTTTTAGTTACGGATAATCTAACAGGCAGTTGAATTTTTATTGCTGAATGGTGAAATCTTTGTTTGATCATTAACAACATTGGTAACTCAGGTTTTTTTCTAGAAAAAGGAAAGTTACCTAAACTCAATTGATCAAATAGATAAACTTCAGTCTCTGTAAGCTGATTGTGCTCACTTATATGGAGCCTTAAATAGAACATCAAAAGTCAAAAGATAAATAGTAAAAACAAAATTGAGATGTAAAATGAAAATACCTGATTGCCAACACTAGCAACAAGATGTTTTTCAACTTTTTCACCCCCCAGACAAAACCAACATTTCCAATCCTCTGTAACAGAAGAGTGCAAATTAGGATAAATATTGGGGCTCCCGAAGTATGCGAACCAAGATGGCGGACATCAGAACGTAACATTGATAACAGGTTAGGGTTAGGCGATAATTTTTTTCCAATTTTCCCTATTTTAGTCGTATTATCAGTTCGAAGACTAGCCAAGAGCCTCCTGTAGTATTTATGCCTAAAATTATGACCTAACCCTAACCTAGTACACATATTACGTTCCGATGTCCGCCATCTTGGTTCGCATACTTCGGGAGCCCCTAAATATTTTTATTTTATTCCTAGATTAGTGAGATAGGCAAATCCGACTTACGTGGCCTTTCTGTTTTTCCTCGTTTGGCATTTTTATTGAAATCAGACTTTCTTTTTCTATGTAGACCAGGACTATTTGACTTGTTAATGTTCCACCTAAATTGGGCAGATTCCTGAATTTAAAAAAGGGAAGTTAAAATTTTGTGAAAAATGCTTTTCAATAATATTCAACATCCAGATAACCTATTGGAAGACGTGGATGTAGAATATGTCATGGGATTAGTAATAATTGTGTAGAGAGGCAAGTCAAGACCTGGGACTAAATACTTTCCATTAATCTTTATTTTTGGTTCTAAACAATCACTGAAAAAACTTTTTCCAAAGTAGATATTCTCCAATAACTTTTATGTTTCAGATGTACCAAACTTACATATCTATTACTTGGTTTTGAAAAATGATGCATGTACAAAAAGTTACTCTTACATCTGTATCTTGCAAAAATGATTCTGTTGACATTTGTGCAATACTTTTCCCATCATCTTGTTTTGATCTTTTAAAATAAGGACATTCAGTGGCATCAGCAGGCATTTTTAGCAACTCTGATTGATCCATTTTGGTCATTGGTGTGATAGTGAAGGCATAAAGATACTGAAAAAAATTGAATATTCTGTGAAGTTCAACACAGCTTACAAATGATTAAAGATATTCATTGAATCAACTGACAAATTGAAGAAACAAGATGCCACAGTTGACTTACTATTAGTCTACTGCAAGATATGTCACAATTTCAAAGCAAAAGTGATATATAAATAACTTAAACCATTCAAATTTACACCACAAGTACCTAAACTAGGGGTGTGCAAACTAGGCCTGTAGGCCATAAGAACAATTGTACAGCCCGTAGAGAAGTGTTAATCTTAAATGAACTGCCCGCGAAACGAGTTTTTAGTTTGGTTAATCTGGTTCGTTCGAGCAACTCCAATCCCTTTGCGTGGGTCATTTGAAGTCGGTGTAATAAAAATTTGAATATCAGTTTTCCATAGAAATTTTTACCTTTTTTTACTCCCCATTTCTGCAACAATAACGTAAGACCAATAACAAAAAGAAAAGATATTTTGTGCCTGCAACTACTTTAAAGGCTATCTATCTTAAATAAAAGTGCGGCCTGCAACTTCACCTTTCGTAGTTGCTTGTATCTGACCCTTCTGTAATAAAGGTTGCACACCCCTGGACTGAACCATTCAAAAATGACTCAATTTCCCCAAAACAAAGCATCAAACTGGCTAATGGGTGGGAAGGTCATGTCATGACATATATAATAGCTCTATACATATTGCTCACAGCTTTTTAGACTCTCTTTCAGAAAACTGCATTCCATGCAATCACTTCTAATCAACCTACCTTCTGTTTATCAGCATTACCCACAGGGGCCAGTGATATAAACCTAGTTGTATGCCTTGTTGAATCTGATAAAACAACATGATTTCTGTATGGAAGTCGTTCATAATGAATCTTTTCCAATGCTGAGAAATGATATCTGTGGAAAAATTGAAAATCGATAGTCAAATAATTTTTCATTTTTAAATATCCATCTTCAAACAACATTTGGAGCACGGCGACAATCACAAACCAAAATTGCAAAACTGTAAAATTTTAATCTCCAATGTATATTTAGCATTATTTTGTGAAAATTTGTGAAAACCATGAAAATGTTTCCTATAATCATTACAATTGATTATTAAAAGGAATTTGAGAGAAATCTTGCCACTCAGCACAGATCCTGGATATGTTACATGCTGTACAGATGGATGTGGAAATGAAATTAAGCACACTGACCTTGGTCTGATTGCACTAGCCAGCTGAGATATTAATATGGATCCACATTTCAGACATTTATCATCACTCTGTAATTATAAAAAAAAGACCCATGAAGTGGAAACAAACCTCAAAAGATACAACCCTAATGAAAAAAATAGCAATTATATGGTATCGGATAATGGAAGAATCATTGAGAATCCCAATGTTAGAAATTTTCCATTGTCATGATATGGGATATATCCTGTTAATCAGTTAAATATACTCACAGGTGCATTCCCATAAGTGCAGACTGCTTTTGGCCATTGAGAAGTCAACAGTAGATCAACGCCTACAAATTTTTTAGATCCAGCATTAGTGACTGATGTTACAAGAGATTTGATATCAGCTTCTGAAAAGCAATGTTTAGGAGCAGGTGTGCTTCCTGATGGAGATTCAAGTCCGCTGAGATAAACAACCTTCAATCCACCTGATGTTGTGAAGACACCTTTTCGACCTGTATAACAATACAAATGGGTTTGCAACTGAAGTTCTCTTGACAGAATATTGCTTTCCGCAATATAGTATGTTTCATTGCTAAAACTTTTTTTACAACTATCTTTCTATCAAAACAGGTATTACCAACTGAACAAGGGATTGTTTACTATACGATCACTATAATGATGGTTTGCCATCAAATTTATTTCTCAACCAAAAAAAGTCTAAGTCATTATGCAAAACTATTTGTATTGAAAAATCCTTAAGAAATCAACAGTCCGAATTTAAAACCAAAAGAATCACTATCATAAAACTATTGGTATTTCAGTACATGGGTATTGCTTGCACAAACTAAGCAATTAATAACCTTTGCTTCATGTAACTCATCTATTTATATCGTATTATAAAAATACTTCACAAAGATGACAATCTTACAGCAATGGTAAAATTTTAAATTAGAAATCTCGGGCACATGTAAATTCTCGATAAACTACTTCTCTGACCGAGTTTAATTACCAAATGTCCCTTACTGCCAAAAACATAATAGATTCCAAAACCATTTCATCACGGTATATGCAAATGATTATAAAAATTTTCAGTAAATCGTTCTGCAAGTAGGCTACTTCATTTATGATCAGGCATAACAAAAGAAAAAATTCATTTATAAAAGTAAAGGTATCAAAATCAACCTACGAAAATTCCTCCACATCAAAACTTATTGTGAATAAGTAACATTTCTTCGATTTGGACCTAATTGTAAATACCTAGATAAGTGATATTTTCTCCAATGTCAAAACCATCTTCATCTCCTCCTCCATAATGTTTGAGATGTTCAGATGAATTTGGACCCAAAATATAAGTTGGAATCGGTGGTTTCTTTGTCCCATTTCTATACGACAACCAACTGTCAGGCATTTCTTCTGCAAAGAAATCCCCCACTGCGAACAGTATCTGAAGAGATATTCAAATTTCACTAATTTTGATGATGCCACTTTTATTAAAAACGCTGGTAAGTATCCTATTAGTGTAAACTACACACTCTCTATGTTGGCAATGGCAACCAATATAGCATTTTAGTCCAACTTTTACAGCTGATTCTCACTTAGATTAATTAGATTCACTAAACCATATAGAGTAGCGTCTCCAGGCTGAAATAGGAATGTACCACAATTAGTTACATTAATTCATCAAATCAGGAAACCTATATGATCATACTGCATCTTTTCAGTACGGTAATGGTTACAAATAAACCCTCAAAGTAACATGAATAAACAGAGCTACGATATTTAAAAAATATGTCAAATTTATAAATAGTTACATCAAATCGAGACCCTTTCTTCATCAGTTTCTCAATTCTGTTAAAAACAACTTCAATCTTTCCTTCGGCATCTCCACAAACCATTCTGAAAAAGAAAATTCAGATTTGTATAATATAAGTATGTAATGATCTAAATACTAAAACAGACTAGTGATAATAACAAATTTGTATGTTCATAGAATGATTTATACTGCAGTACTGTTATGTAATATGGTATCACATAACAGCAGGTATGGATCAGCATTCAGCATACTGGCATCCCTCACATGAGAGTGCTAATTCTGTAGTTCAGTAGAGAGCGAGAGAGAGAAAGAATTTTTTATTTCGTCAACCAGAAAATACATAATAATAAAATATAATGATAAGTGAAACAAAAGTTTTCGGTATGACTGGGAGGTAACAATACGACCATTTACATAATCTGAGTCAGTTACCACCCAACACAACACATGAATAAATAAATAAATTGACAGTTTATTTTTTATTGAACTCTTTAAGTTTATAGAAAACTATTTACAAAACGTAATCTGATTAGAATGAGGATTAATTTGGGTTAGTCTGGTCAGGATTGGGAATTCTTTCTAAAAATGGCAAATTTATAACAGTAACATGAATTAGTTTTTTTTTTTTAATTAATTTAATGGTAGAAAAAGACGAGTGCCTTTCCGAAATAGATGCTTGATTCTGACTGAGAATTCTGACTTCAATAGTACAGAAATAGACATATGCAAATGAAAGCAGATATGATGATTGATAAATTTATTAGAGTACTTTTGACAAAGATGAGACAATTACAATAATCCAGAAACCCTTTCAATTCTTGCAATATTTCATAGTCTACTCCAAGCGTAAACTTTGGTAGTAGGAGTATCAAAAATTTATCAATTTATTGCATATCGATAAATATTATTCACACTCATAGTTAATCAAATGATCCATCGCACAATCCATGAACAATCGCTTGTTGGTAATTAAAAATGTAATTGTATTATATCAAGCAGAATCATAAAATTTAAAGAGCCACCTAGCAGAGGAGTTTTGGGCTACCTGTACTAGGATGGCATAGCACCAAACCTAATGTTGTATATACGTAGGATATCAGAAAATGATTATAAATGTTTGCAGAATGATAAATGATAAGACATGATATATATATAAAACAGTGGATTAATATGGCAGGATAGACCAAGATATTGGTTGATTTGGGCTCATTGGTTTTTCTCATTTACATCGTACTTTTTTGCATTATTTGTACATTTTATTACTGTACCATACTTTACAATACAGTACGATGTGTATAGAGTAATTTATGTAATGTTTTGTATAATGTTCCGACTTGCACTAAAATTCAGGTTACATCGCTTCTCAAGAACGGAACAGCATCGTCGAGGACGTCGAGGACTCTCTGGACACTATAATCTAATCGAAGGGTCAAAAAAAGTCAGTTTCTAACCATTGCAGCATGAACCGCAATTAAGGAGTGGAGGTAGGTATATATCAGAAAGTAAGTTTTATGATCACAGAATAAAAAAATTATAGACTATAGGATAGGATTTACATATTTATCCCGGGGTGAGGAAAGGCGATGAGATGGCTTAATCATATGGCGAACCATGACCTCTCGCCCAGTTACCAGTCCAGGTTGAGTATGGGATTAGTTAGCCAGTTATTTGTCTTCGGAAGCATGAACTTGAAGGTCGAGAAAGCCGCAACCGACCAGCGGTTACACGTGAACCACCCTACGGCGGCGAGGAGTCCAGCAATCCTCTCGCACATGATCATCCCCGCATGGGATTCGAACCTGCGAACCCACGATGGGTACCGTAATCAGAGATGCGGTGGCGAACGTATTCCTAACGCTCAGCACGATGTGCCACTACGCCGAGCATATATAACAATTAGATCAATACAATTTAACAAGTTATGTATATTAATTTCATAGGAGACAAACCATGAATTTGTAAATGATCAAAAATTACCTGGTTATTATAATAAATTGGTATCGTGATTCCCATTCAACAGCCCATGCTTTGTTAACTATAACAGTTGCTGTGATCGCAGGTTTTTAACCCACTAACCTAAATTATATCTAAAAAATGGCAAAAGGCTACTTACACTTTTAAGGCGTCGGAGGCCATCTTCTCCGTAAGGTAAAAACAGTTAAAATACGAAAGCTCAATAAGCAGCCGACGGAACCACAGAGAACGGCCACCAAATTTGACAGATATGTCTCCCCCGACCCTTGACCCAGACGTCAGGCGGGTCAAATTGAATTACCCAACGGGTCGGATTTGGCCCGCGGGTCGTAGTTTGCCCACCCCTGAGTTATGGTATGTACTGAGATTTATAGAGGTAAAAGTACAAACATAGGCGCAAATTAGTAAAAACAGAATCGATTATAGACTCGCTAAAAAAGACGTGGACTCGAAATCGAATCCGAGTCCAAAAAATGCGTGGATTCGAATCCGAGTCCGGATCCGAATCTCGGTCCGTCCCTACCGTCGTTGATCCCTACTAAGCGTTAGGAATACGCTCGTCACCGCACCGCTAATTACTCTACGTTGGTTCGCCGCCGTAGGGTGGTTCACGTAACCACTGGTCGGTTACGACTTCCTTCACCATCAAGTCCATGCTTCTGAAAAACAAATACCTAACTAATCCCATACCCGACAGGGGATGGTAACCAGACGAGAGGTCGTGGTTCGCCATATGGTTGAGTCGTCTTGTCGGCTTTCCTATCCCCCGGGATAAATATGTGAATCCTTATCCTGATTTGCCAACACCCCAAAAAGTAGGATATAGGCTTTAAATATTGATCCTGAGGAGAGAAGAGCCGATAAGACTGCTTAATCGTATGGTGAACCACGGCCTCTTAACCGATTGCCAGGTCACGTTCGGTATAAAATTTATTATTGCCAGTTATTCGTTTCAGATGCATGGACTTGAAGAAAGGTTGGGAATATGAAATCCCGGGATTGGGATAAGAAAAATGAGCGGAAATCCCAGGATCTTTGAAACACAACAATTGCTGATATCAAACATTTTATCGCCCGTTATGATGATCACGGGTTATCAGTCACTGTCTGATCTCCATAAAACTTTGGTCCGTATATTCAGAACACCGTCGGAGCAGAGTTATATAATGGCTCTAGTCGGAGTACCAGTAGTCAAGTCAAGTTTATTTTTTCCAACCAGTAAAAATAACTATCACAAGTACAAGTTACAAGAAAACGATAATTCACACATTTTTATTGGGGAAGGGGAGTCGCGCAACCAAAGCTGGTTATCGAGCAGCGACACCCAAGGTTCAGATATCTAATTCAAAGTGTTAGGATTCTAGAGTTTGAAACTATACTGATATTGACGGTGAAAACCCTATAAAATATCTAAAAAACACCGCTTACCAGCGATTATATAGTAGAGGTCAATGAGCCATAAAACCAACAGACGAATGGGCAATTCCCAGTTTCAATGGAATCACTTTTAAGCAAGTGCTATTCCGGAAATTAGTGTGAGTATTTTGGAAGGTGACCTAGAATCCTAGATAACCACATTTTACAGTTTACATTGATGAAAAAAGTGAGGTATAATAAATCGAAGGAGCGTTTCAACAAACTTTTCTTCTTCCATAAATGCTTTCTAAATATATGTTTGGGTTATGTTTTAATTCATTTAATTCCGTAACTTTAACTCCGTTTTAATACCTCGAATGCAACCTTGATAGTTCGTTTTTCACTACACCAAGCCAGATTATATAACGCTAACGATCTTCTGTATGTTTGCAATTCAGTTGTATACAGGACGAATTTTGACGTTATGCTGCCTAAAATAACGATGTCAGCCTTCAAGATAATTTATTTGTCCTAATATATACTCAAATACAGATAGAAGGTACATTCCGGACCGAGGATAACAAAGGCCCTAACATTATGCCCTTACACAGTGGTCTTCAAACTTTTTGAGACACGACCCCATCTACAATATTATTACGTATGATAAGCACTCGCGACCCCAAGTTATATATATATATGTTCACCTACAGACACGAAAAAATATTTATCAAATTAGGAAATTTATTAAAAGAACCCAACAACAACCATATTTAATCAGTGTGAAGAATGCGACTGCTTCCTTCCAACGAGATCTTGCATCCGTGGCTTAATGTTGCTAAAAGTCAAGCTTTCAAAAAGATTGATCATACGATATTTTTCTTTTATGTTTATCAGCCATGTAATAAATTGTAATTATCAATATGACGGTAGCCTGGAAAATGAGGCTTTGCAGTAAAAGCAACGGCCACTGTACAGTACATTTAAGACACAATAACGATTTACTTTAAAATATAAATTACTGTCGTTAAGCAATAGCCTTATTAAAAAAGAAGTCACTCCAATTCGAAATATCGAAACTTGCTAGCCTATGTAGCGTTATTCAACATAACAGTGTAGACTACACGCTGTTCTGTATTTGTGTCATAGAACACTGTTTTTCACACGGACTAAATTTGTGAATATGATGTCATAATTGATTTATCGTAATTGCTCTTGATATTACCTGTCTGCGTGCTCGTTATTCATTCCTTTGGTTGAAGTGTCTAGCGTTAAGCCGAGAAGTCACACACATAATAAAAATAATGAAAGAAGAGACAACGATGAGCACTCGGCGACCCCAGAAATATTTGAGGCGACCCCACTTGGGGTCGCGACCTACACTTTGGTGACCACTGCCCTAACATACATCGATATGGCTTACAAATTAATTTTCCGACCTTAGCATCAATTACTTTTCCGGACCACATCGGTTCACTGTGTGTAGGGGAATGGGTCGGCATGGCGCACCACTGCATCGTGTGAATGTTTTTTGGTGACCCGCTAACTCACGAATTAATTCAAAAAACTATAGGCCTACTGGCACTCCAGTGGTAAAAATGGATGATATAATTCACCTTAATCAATCTAGCAATAAGTGAACAACAATGATATATATATCGGTATGCTATTAATTAAAACCTTTATTACATAACAATACAATTAAGCGTTTCATTTCACTGAAGGAGGTGCGGGAACCAAAGTGGGCCGTGGGATAGTTTAGTTTAGGTTATGGGGTATAAGAGATTAGATGCTTTTTCTGCCGTTGATTTTGTTTCCGCTTACAATTCTTCGCACATGCGTTTCATACAATTGACTCCCAGAAGTCGCTACACTTTGGGTTAAAATATCTAGAGCTCTGTTAAAATTTGTTAACACATTTTCTACTATAGTGAATAAACTTGTTAAAATCAGGAAGGCAGCGAATCACGTCTTTGTGCGTGTTAACTTGCTAAACCATAAGCAATAATATCATATAGCCTGGAGGTATAATGCTGCCTTTTTATTCACTGGCGCTGTTATAATTATCATTTACAAGACACAAGATTCGATAAACTGCCTAGACTGGTCTGACAGATTAAAATCAAAATGGAAAATATTTATAAGCTGATAAAATTGGTTGCAATAGTAAATTTGATGTTACTTGGATTCACAGAGTCGCAAAGTGCTGGAAAAAAGGGTAAGCTGTTCCATAATTTGCTCAGTTTTGATTTGGTAAAATGAATAAATAAAATGAGTGATATATACACCATGAACTTAACATCAATAAGTCAAACTTGAAATAAATCAAAAATATACACCGATTGGCGTGTATATGGATGTAATTAACAATTATAGAAAACTGAATCTTCCGTATTGGGATAAAAAATAATCTGGAAACGTGATATTTTGATATGCTTATTTGAACTAAAACCAATTTAAATCGTTAGAATTGACATTTTTGTTTCAATTGATAAAAGTAATTCCATGCCAATTGTTAATTAAATGATCTGGAAATGTGCCTGTTAATAATATCGAAAGTATTTACTACTTGATATTGAATAATGTATGTAATATGAAATTTAAAACCTGGTGTAATCCTTAACAAGACACGATACGTACATTTGATATTTGTCGTATCAATTTCACATCATAGAAAATGGGTGGAATATATATCTCTCGTGGCTGATTTAGGTAACGCAAAACTCTGACGGTAAAATAACGTTGAGTTGAAACACGTGCTCTTTTAGATTTTAAACAAGTAGAGTCCAAGCTGCTATACTTGTAATCTCTTTGCGGGATTACTTGTGTATTGTAAGCAAACCATAAGCGTATTGAATTCTCTTGCTAGTTATTCAATAACCTTAAATTACGTCAATATTGTTTGCAGATAATGTTTTTTTGGAAATATAGATAGTAAAGATACGTAGGTGATTTCAAAGTATCAGACCAGCTATATCAGTGGTATTTAGCAATATTAAATTTGCAAAATATTTTTCATCGTTCACTGTTGTCCACTTCACCTAAATTTTAGCCGCCTAGTGGTTGAAAATGCAATCATACTCAACTTACTCATCAATATTTTAACATTGAACTTATCTTTCCCTTTATTTTAGCAAGTGGTTGTGGAAACATAGTTATAAAAGCAGAAGCAAGAACAAAATATGCAACAACACCAGGATTTCCAAATGCTTTTCCGGGAGATGCAAACTGTGTTTGGGCGTAAGTATTTTGTCTTTGACTTTATTAATTAGGCACCGTAAATTGAATTGGCCATGACTATAAGGTCTTGCGGTTAGCAAAATGAACGCGTCCTATTGACATTTACATTAATAACAGCTGCCCCATGATTTGAAGAGCCAAAAGTTTTGTAAAACTACCATAAAATCGCCCGATATTAATCAACACGTAATTTGTTTTTCACCGCAGTCGCCTACCCAGTTCAGTAAGACAATAATAATATGCACTCCAGTACTCGATGCAAGATACTAAAGATTAATCAGTCCGAGAAATTTTTCGAAACAATATGTATATCAAAACAACAGTAATCGATCAAAGTTCAGGACTGATGACAAAATTTGTTTTCACTGTTATCGCATTGACGTCATGATTTTGTTAAGTCACAGCGGACAAATATTATGTACTTCATGTTCACCTACATATATATTTTTAGACCGTTAGAATAATAAAGCAAGCTGTTAGATAAAAACACATGGTCGAAAATATGAGGTTTATCCCTGTTCTTTGTAATGAGCGATTCGGATGTAGTAAATACTGTGCCGTTCATACGAGTGTTACTACAATACCTAAATGGCAGCGATCACTTATTATGATTCAATATAGCTTTCGGGGAATGCACTTAACTTGTTTAGAACTTACTAAGATTTGTTTAGCAAGTTATTATCGCTGTTTTATGGGTATTTACTACATCATTATAACATTTATAGTATCCTCTTCGCTATCTTTGCCTCGACTTGCGAACATTCAACATAATGTTTTGTGATGTGAGAAACTACGGTAAATGTCTGATGATGATATTGTGACCTGAAACAATTATTTACTGCCCATGTTTATTTGCAGTAAACTGGAACAGTGTTAAATTACTTTCTAAATAGTTTTGCACCCGATAAACAAACTTTTTAGTGGAGATTTTATGTTATCTAGGAGGTTAAAAGTTCAAGAAATGCCAATTTTCTTGCAAATTGTTCATTTTAGTAATAATTTTGAGTTTTACAAGCAAACTATTACGTCGTTTGCTTTGAAAAAAAGCTCAATGAAACAATACACTCAAAAGCAAATTAAAAAATATCACTACAATCAATTGTGCTTGACGTGTATTAGATCGTAAAATACTCAATGAATTTTTTGTCTGCCAGAATCCATTCAAAGCCCGGCAAAAGAATCAGGCTTGAATTTCAAAAATTCTACCTGTTACAGCCAGTTGACGGAAATTGCGAATATCACTACGTCATTGTCAAATCACCTTTTACATTATTTTCAATGGGACCATATTGCGGAGAGTCGGGACTTCCAACCATTGTCTCTACAGGTAACAAAGTCATTGAATAATAGAAGTAGAATATTGAAAGGTATTTCTGATTAGAAATGTAGTGACAATGAACTCAATGAATGCGCTAAAACCATCTCTGTGACGAGAATCCACTCATCATTCCGATGTCAGGTGTTTGAAATCAATTCTTTTGTAGCTAACAATGTATAGGAATACCACTAAGACGATCCCAAATTAATAACTATTACGCATTGTTGTAAACATTATTCGAATATTCTCAGGGAATTTAATTTATGTGGAATTGCACACAATAGTTCCGGTAACAACAGATAACTATCAAGGATTTAAACTTGCTTTCAAGGAAACTTTGGAATCATCTAGTTACGAACGTAAGAAATTTTGTTTTGTTTTAATCTTATGACCTTTCGCATTTCATTGTTATTACCTAATACCCATATATACCATGTTGGCAACGCACAAGTGCTAGCTATTTACTCGAACTTTTTCACCCCTTGAAAGACGCTGAATTATGTTTTATGATCGATGGTGTAATGAGTTGATTTAATTTTAGATTCTTGTTGAATTTCGATGAACATAAGGGCATGTCAAGTTTGAGAGTTTACTTCTTCTAATGTTTCTGTGTAGTGGTCTTCTGTAAGATTTATGTTTTTACGATTTTGTTTAAATTTATTTTTTCTTATTTTCCAGTCCGACCAGATAACAGCGACGGCGACGTAATCATGACTGTCGATCCGGATACTATGGATGTCATAAGCCCCACAGCTGCTCCAACCACAACGCCAAGGTATAAAACAATTAAATATAAAAAAAAAATTCTGTTGAGACATTGAAATATTTTAGCTTCATATTTGTTTGTTCAGAACTGCTAAGTCAACGACTAAACCGTGGAGATTCGTCCCATCAAGACGTCCGTTATTGAATACCAAGAACAGGCCTGGTGAGAACAAGAATATGAATGTCATTTCAATTAGATACCAAACGCGTAAAATGGTCGTTATCAATACTTTCCGGCATAAAACTTTAACTTTATATTCATACTATTACCGCGAAGATAATAGTTTTATTGAACTAAAGTCATATATAAATGCACGTCGGTGGGAATTTGGCTTTTATAGCCTTAATTTATCTTTTTTGATTCCATGGATGCTTTTATAATTTATTTACTTTTCGTGAATAGATAAATACTGAGTGCTACTGAAATAATACTAAAACCCCAATGAAAATTACTATTCTAGCCGCTCGTCCGCGCCCACGTCCGCGTCCGCAGTCACCTTCTACAAGAAGACCAGCAAGACCAAGTTTCGTGAATACAAATAATAAAGTTGTTGCAAGAAATACCCCCAGTAAGTCGATATATTTTGTACAAAAAAAATAAAATCTGATTCTTGACACTGCATTGATATATATATATACATTCCAGATAGTTTTATAAAATTGAATCTAATTTAAGATATACAAGTTTCCAAAAATTTTGAATTTTGTTGTATAGTTCACACATCGGTAATCCGAATTTTGTTTGGTTGGTCAAAACATTTTTCAATAACCTTTTTGCAATATACTGTGCATATTGAAACTTCTTTACTGGATTTTCCAGGCACAAAAATCGTCAGACCGAAATCAAAACAGCCCGTTATTAAAATTGAAATCATCGTTGCCATAGCTGTTGGTGGACTAGTCGCTGTTGCGATAATTATCATGATCGCATTAAAAATGATGACAAAAAAGAGTTCTTCAGATGAAAACAGAAAACAAGGTATGTATAAAAGTGTTTTTAATTTTTATGAAAGCGCTTATCTCACACATAATATCTTTAATTACCAGGACTGAAAAAGTCACAAGCATCTTCACCTGCAAAAATTAAACCAGAGCCTAAAAGTGAATATGAATTGCCAGGTATGTATATGAATCCTAATCAACAGCCTCAATATTGGTACGAAGGAGGCGCATATGCAATGGCGCATCCACCGGGACCAAATTATCCCCAGCAAATACAGATGGAGGTTTATAATGCACACGAAGGTCGAGAACAACGAAGAAACAAGAAACAAAAAAGGAATAGAAGGAAGCGACAGCGATGATATTATCACATGTGGTATGGTGAAAGTGAATTTAACCCGACTAGTGGGGATGCAATATGAAAAAAACCCACTGAATGCCTGTAATCACTGATACCAAACGACTCAAAAGAACTCGTCAAAGCCATGGAAATAACTGGAATTCCGAAGACAATATATTCTCGAATCCCTTTCGAGACGCAAACGACACCATGCGGTTGTGAAATATGAAGTCAGGAATCACATGGAAATGCAGTTTTGAGATATGAAATCAGAAATCACGTGCATTTCTCCGAAATGTAAATTAGTAGTGCTTGTTTCTGTAGAAATTTTATGCCTCGGGGAAATTTCTTGTTTTCTAATGTCAGGATCAAAAACAGGAATAAATACATGAACACGATGTCATTTTTTTAATTCAGTCGTTGGAGATGCAAATCGGTCAGTGTCTGTCAGATATACTTTTTTGTGTAGTATGTGCGAATAACTTTTGTGGTACGTTGAATCTATCCAATATATGTTTAATCCATCATAAGTTTTCAAAGATACAAGATAAAGTGAGCTTTTCAGTTTTCGAAATACATAGCGAAAATATGTAATATCATTCTATAACATACCGGGATACACATCGATATTTAGCTATGTTACGGAAGGCTGTCAAATATTTGCTTTGTTCCTAGATGAAACACAAATGTTACACCAAAAATAATGTCATACCTATCTTGAACAGCTCTATTAAATAAATAAAATACAACGAGAGAGTAATAATAAGCATATATAATTGCTACAATCCGAACACATAGCTAAAAACTCGTTTGTTAATCTCGTTTGGAAATTAACAATTTAGTTTAGCAAACTCCCGCTGCTGTGTTAGTGCCAACCCCAACCTTGTAGCAATTGAAATGAATCAAGAAAGCAGTCAACACCTTCTGACCGAAGTAGTTTTACTTAATGTACATAATTCAGGGCATAAATACCTTGCATAATTAACATGTGTTGGCGCAATCAGTATTTTATTTTTTTCACCATCATGTAAATACACTTTGCACAAACAAAATAAAAAACAAACGTAAAAATGGTATTACAGTGTGGAAGGGGGCGCGAAATACCAATACTGGTTATCAAGCAGCGACACCTGTGGTTAAGTCTAACAGTTAGTCAGTTATCAGGAGAAAATAAAAATCAAACATTGAAAATTAAAAAAAAGGTTTACAACAACAAAAAGAGATGAAAAAACACTCATTACAAACGAAAAACGACTCCGGGCACCATCCAGTGTGGTCACCATGGAAACGTACTTACAAAATCAGATGAATTTGAATTTTAAGCAGGCTTGCATAATTTTGTTAACACGTCAAATTTGCTCACCGAACTGCTTCAAAACACTCCCATGGTATCAACTAATAATATTTTAACGAGAACATTAGTGTTCACCAGGAGAAGCAATTCGTCCTAAAAACATTGAACATTAACAACAAGAATCTTGAATAGTATACAAAGTAACTTGTGCACAAATATTGTATGTCTTTGAGAACGGGAGCACAAAATCCAAACGATCGATAACGCAAGGGTGTCCAAAATTTAAAATAATAAAAACTTTATCGGATTATGAAAACCCTATGTCCTGGTAACTGATAAGAGCTGTCGAGTATGCGTTTCATCCGCATAATATGTACTGAAATCTAAAACTCAAAGCATTGATCAACAGATCTTCGGTGTATTACGTGTGCTTTTGAAAATGAGGTGAAACCTAAGTATCAAGCAAGTGAAAGTAGCCAACTGTAAGTTTAAATACGTTGTAGACTTGATGGAGCAATCCATTCTTCGTAGCTTCTGTCCCTTGTATTTTTAATACAGAAACTCAAGGGCTTTGTTTTTGCTTCAGTAACAAATTAAATAACTCGGACCCTGACTCTGTAGTTTGAGGCCTTCAAAGTTAATGTCAAAAGAATATTCTTTATCCCAATTGTCTTGGTATCGGTTTACCATGCTTCAGCTATTCATCCATTATAAAGTATTCTTGCAAGCCAGTTACAAATCTATTGACATTTTCAGCCCTTCAGGGGGAAAGAGAACCATACAAGAAAGTTATTTATATATTTACATTCAATATCAGTGGAAAAATCAAAAAAAAATCATGGAACTGCAAAATGTTATTTCTTTAAAGCAGCGTTTATTCTAATTTACAACAAAAATCAAACACATACTGGTAAATAAGGCACAATACTTGGCACTATAACAATCAAATTGAAAGTTGAATATTGAAATTAAAAAAACAAAAACTTCTACTGATCTAGTAACTGAATTTTCAACATAAAATATTTCTGTGAGAATAAAATTAAGAGCAACATCACATGAATGCTTAAACCATCAATCGAAAAGAAGAGCAGAAGATGATTTCAAACATCAACCAAATTAAACAATTCAAATGCAATTCAGGAATGACACGAAAGTAAATATATCATTTCACACTCTCGAAACTCATTTAAACTTGATTCAACTTTTTAAGCTATTGCACATGGTACAATCACGATGAAGTAGCACTACAGTGAGTATATAAAAATGATAATACTATAAAATCATATTTTTAACATACATTTAAGGATGATTAGAATTTTAATAAAAAGGCAATTAAACGATTATACATCTCTTTCAATAATCAAAATTTGTCGAAATAATGTTTTGAAAATTAGACTACATTCTATTTAATGAACTAATTTTTGTACTGTTCTTATCAAATTTTATCCTCAAATATATGTGATTCTCTCTCATTTATATAAAATATAGTTATTATAAACTAATCTACAATAAAATAACAAAAAAAAAGATTGGGAGGTTGGAGGAACCGACCATAAAGCAATATAGCATCAATATCATCGAGGTGATTGCATCCTTTAATATAAGGGCACTTTAGATAAGCCGAAAATTGGATGACATTGAACTACCGTATTATCATCAATACAGCACAATACCTATCTGCCTGTGATATGATATTTGTAGGATGCATAGTTGCTTCCTGCATATCCTGTGGATATTTCACATCTCCTATTTAAAAATTATCTCAAGTAAACTGTCAATATCCAAACCTTTCAACAGAAAATAACTTTGTATGTACTGAAGGAAGTCTACTTAAATACAGTAATTATGACAACTTATACAGTGAAAACAGTAACTACAATTTTCAAATTTTTCGAGATGAATGAACAAGCTCTAGCTAGCATTACAATATAGATTGTCAAAAGAACAATGATGATTCACAAAAAACATCACCATGAAGCACATAAAACAACCTGAAATTTTGATTAACAAAGTAAAATTTATGAATTCCATATTTGAAACGATTATGTTGGGAAGCATTCAATTTCCAGTCAAGGAAAAAATATAATCTTTACTCATCAGAAAATAAAACGCTATAGCAAGTTGCACATCTAATGATCAAATTGTTTGGTGAAAATAAAAATAGGATTATGCACATGATTTTTCCCAGAAAACTTTATATAGAAAAATTTAAATATGGAATGGTGAACACCGATTTGAAGTTTGATTAATATTAGGCCCACAGTCGTTTTATATTGTCCAAATAACACTGCTCGGAGCAACTCCAGTTTTTAAATGAGTCAAACTAAGACTCAAGCCTATCTTTGAGTTGGAAAAACGTTATTTCCTATTTTAGAATGTTCCATAACTCATAAATCTGACTTGTCTGACAACAGTAGACAAAAACATTACTACCAAACTACATACTTAAAATTCATTACAATTAAACAAATAAGGCATTCATTCTATACTGATAAAAAAACATAAGAAATCATTGGCAAGCTGTGAATCATTTACAGTTGAGTGAAGTATACAAAACAGTTAAATGTCTGTGTTGCATATCATGAATTTATGTATAGTAAATGTAAATCATTAAAATAGAAAATTAAATTTTCAATTAAGCATCTGGGCTTTCATATCCACCAGAGCTTGAAAAACTAACTCTATGTCGTGACATTCCTGAATTACTGTTTGCATTATGATTTAAATGCGGAAATCTACTTATATCTTTCTCATGAAATCCTTCATCTCTCAACAATGGTTGCCGAGTGTCATCCAAGAATAAAAATTGAGGTCTATTCCATTCCTGTTCTTCCCCAGATGCAAGAAGGATGAATAGGATTGTACCAACGATATAAATACCACATGCGATGAAAAATACAATTCGCCATTGTTCCCTAGTTTCCTGTAATAAGAGTAGAATATTGCATAACAGAACAATACAATTTTGAAACCAATCCTCTGCTCATAAATTGAACTGAGTAGTTGGACCAATAAAGTGAAAACCATGCAAATTTTATACAACCAATTTTATGCTATAAGATACAAAAATGTTTTAGAGATTTTGTCAAGCAAGTTTGCGCACAGTCACTCAAGACTCAAAGACTATCTATAAGCAAAGTTGCAGTTGCAGGTGAGGAATGAAAGGCATCAGCTACTGAAAATATATAGAATAATAGTGACAAATACCACACCAGTGAATTCCGATGGACAATGAATAGGCTTGAAGCAGTATAAATCAGTTATGCAAATGTGAATTCCAATCTTGTTAGCCTTGTAGCTTGACAAATTTACAAAGCTAAATCAAACTCTTAATTATTACATACCAAACATAGCCTATCAGTATATTCCATCAGTTGATTGTCCAACTTACACTTTGAGAAGGGCAAACATATTATATTGATTACACATGATTTCAATTCAAAATCATGATACTTTGAATGAATATAATCCTGGTTATAGATTGTTGTTATTATTTCTATATTTTACTTACATTATCTCCTGTTAATTTCTCAACGACAATAGGAGAAACAAATCCAGGTATTGTTGCAAATGTATTCGTAATTCCCATTAATATTCCAGAATATCTGAAAAAGTAATGAATTACAAGATATTACCTATAAGCAATTAGCAAAACTGTGTGAATCACATGCTATATCAAAAAATAATGTAATTGAATTCTCCTAATCAATTATTAAATGTAGCAGCAGTACTCCATAATAAACACTTGAAGCTGTGTAAATCACACATTATATAAATTAAGATATACCGGTACTAAAATTTCATCACCATCCAAGTACTGAAATCTACATCTTCAGATGAAACTTGTAAGTTAGATACGGGTCTACATATCCAAATATTAGAGGACAAATAATACAGAGGCAGTCGAGTGAGATGGGACAAAAATGGTTCGTATTTAATTAAAACAAAACAGCAAAATTCTTGGTGAAATAACGCATTCCATAAAAATTTAAAAAATAAAACCAACTGACTGAAATTTTGAAATGAATTGATCTGTTAAGTGTGAAGAAAATCGGTTTCATATTCGCAACAACAATCACCCTAATAACGACAACATCAGCAAAGATTTAACAAAACGATTCATATGTCCATTTCTCGTCCAAAACCAAAATGACATACCTTGAAGCTATATCAATATGATTTGAATTAAATCCAGGAAATGTACATCCATTAAATGCAGTAGCAATGCATATAAATGCTATAATAAGAGTATTATTGCAACCAACATATCCAGCAGCTACTAAGAATATTGCAGGACCGATTAAACCTAGAAGAGAAATATACAAAAAAAAGTTTACAAAAAAAATTTTCTTTAGGCAAGGCCCACACTCATTTAAAATTAAAAGACTCATTCCTGGCAAAGTTATGAGCAACAACTGTAATTCTAATTCCAAGGGCTCCTATATAGATTTACAGTGTTGCTTTACACACCAGAATATGCTGATAGGCAAGGTAATTAAAACAGTTCAATTCAATATGATTAGGTAAGGATAGTGAATTCCACATGACCAAATCTGTTAGAAAAAATACTGAGTTTAGCATATAAAAATATTTTCGACTAGATACTAAGAGTAAAATGATGCAGATATGACAACTGAAAACTTTTCTTGGAGTGACATCATACCGATAGAATTGAAAACTTTCCTCGCTTGAGTGGTGTTTAATATTCTCTTTTCTCTCAAATAATCACAAACAAATCCTGATAAATTGATAGAGACCCACATGACAAAAAATGGCAATGCTGAGATTATGCCACTCTGAAAAATAAGAAATTGCATGACATAATGGATAAATGATGGATACTGTTTTATTAAAACAGTGGAAAAAGTTAAACATCTTTGTTTAACGCAATACATAGTGAATGAATATGAAGTATATTGGACATTGTGCAAGGAAAATAGAAAGGCTTACAAAGCAATTAGTCATTTATTCAATTTAAAAATAGATGAAATCGCAATACATAAGACTGTTCGAGTCATACTGAACTAGGGATGACTAGGATTTAACTTTATTTGTTGATCAGAATTATCTCACCGAGAAGATATGACTTTTGGTCAGTGAGTTAACCAAACAGGAAGAATTCTAGTTAGTCATAAATATAGCAAGTTTTCGAAGCAGACTTAAGAAAATAAATGCAAATTATTACTAGTAAAAAATTTGAAAAATAAATAAGTTTCGTCGTTTATTATTTAAATATTTCGAAGCTTGCCAGCATAAGCATAAGGTATACTATACAATTGCTCCATAAAAACATTGTACCGTTGTCATATCGAATCGCAGTACATATTTCAAATACATCGGTAGACATGTGAGCAAAGTATAAAATCCCCAATTGTTTGCGAAATGTGCACAAGAAATTGCCCATACGTGTCGACTTGTCAAAATATCCATCCAAGGTATTGTGAACTCAGTTTGTTCCTGGAAACAAAAAGTAAAAGCTGTAAGCATGATCAATGCAGGTAGCAGATTTTTTGGAGGGGTGGGCAAAGTTTGTTTGCAAGGGCCGCAGAAAATCTTTTTTTTTCAAAATACCATATCATATCTTTAGTTAAATTTAATATGTAAAATATCCCAAATTAAGGTTTTTCAAAGAAATATGTTAGATGACTATGTAAAAACATGAACCAACACAAATTTATTCAATTTAGCGGAGTAACTCATTACAAGTAATTTTCCTGAAAAAAATAATTTCTCAATTTTTTCAAATAGCAGAGCTGCACAAAATGCTTTGGCGGGAAGCATACAGCCAGCGAGCCATGGTTTGTCCATGCATGGTATTCAATTTATCCCAAATATTCGCAAAAAAAATAATTCGGTAGTACATGATAGAATACCCTCAAACAAACAGTGACCAAATCATGTGCAATTTTTTAACACTATCGTCCGTTTTAAATAGTTCAGACATAACAATCGGAAATAATTCATATGGTAAAAAGTGACAGCCTATAAATTTCATTAAGTAGGTGGCCAGATAATTTGTGATCATCTGTCTCTCAGGAAATCGCTCTAGCACTAATTTCCTGAAGTATTCTCAGCAGGATGCTAATGAATTACAATAAAACCCATATTGGAAAATGCAAGCTACCATAATATTATGACTAATATTGTTGTGTATGAAATTTTAACAATTTGAATTGAAAATCAAGGAAAAGGCTAAATTTCAATTTTAGAAAAACATGCAGTCATATGAGGAGTCACGAGAAAAACTTGACATGACAAAATGCAACTTTTAAAACAGCATTCAAGATCGATTACCTCACATTATATGCCAGATTACATTTTACCACTGAGTTTTCCATTATTATTATTAATAAAGAGACAAGAGATCAATCAATATTTGCCGAAAATGAAAAATTTATTACATTCAGTATTTCATTTGTAAAAGGAGCTATTGTTGACCATACATTGTTGACAATCCAGAGGATATTAAAAGCATCAGTGTTAACTCTAAGGAAATTATGAGTGCGAAAGTGCTTCGCAGTCGAAAAAAAAAGTGCGAAAGTGCTTTTTCTGATTTTAACTACTTAGTTGCCCTAGCTTTCGTTTAAACTCATTTCAAACAGCATGGATACTCGAAAAAGCGCTTCTTCCGTTAATATTGTGAATTGAAGTCTTTCCATTAACGGAGTTTCGTTTAACTCTTGTTAAAAACAAGCGAATTCATCAAAGGACACCTGATAAGCACACTTGTGGGGAATAAAAGTTTCCTGCAATCAACCACCAGCGTCATGCAAACTTGTTTCTTCCATCTAACAGACACCGATTGATACATGCAGATATTAGTTACTACCGGCCATAGCTAGGGAGGGGGATCTTTTGTACAAAACCGGGGCAAAATGACATGCCCATGACCCATCACCAATATCGCTTTAGTATAACACGCTTCCTCGTCCGAAAGAATATGCTTGAAAGTAGTCCGGCATCTTCCCTTTTAAGAGATTGGTTAACGTCATGTTTCTCCGGCCAGTTTTTCTTTGGGAAATAACGCAAGATCACCATGAAAGTACCGCTGTTTTTATAGATAGAGTAGATTTTTTTTCAGATAGAGTGACCTACTTTCTATGGAAGATTTTTTTTCCGAAATATTATGCAAGATCACTTTGAAATCCCTTTCATGAGCTAGCTTGGCCTAATTTATATTATACTGTCTCACGGATTACGCTAAGACGTGTAATTTTCAAATATCGACTTGCATTGGTTTGCGTGCCAGTTAGTTCAAATCGGGTAGAAAACATCATATATTTGCAATTTTTTTTAGAAATGCCATGTACTTCCAGCATTTATAAATAACGCTCTCTCTAATGCTGCAGACCTAGTATGAAATATTCGCATCTCAACGCCACTTTCAATTACACTAATAGTAATGATGACACCAAAGAGTTTTCCTTTGCGAAGGTACAGGAAATACAACAGGGTGATTCTTGAAAAAAACATGAATGTAAAAAATAAACGAATGACATGATAGTGGTTCCCAAATAATTTTGAGTGTGACGCGAAATACCAATCCATTTGATAAATCTTTTTTAGTCGACCATGTGAACGCTGAAATCCTGGAAATTAAAGTTGAAAGAGAAGTACGCATTCTCACATAAATAATCGCGATATATAATCGTTCATGTGCACAAATCTCACATGTAGCATCGGTTAGTTGTGCATGAAATGTAAAACTCTTATGTGTGTGCGTTTCAATTTCAATAAAATCAAATTCGTTTTTCCATGCACCATTACTTGTAATTTTAATATTAATTGCGTTCCGAGTTTGTAAAGTTTAGAAACCTCTTGTATATACCATTACCACTATTTTGATTGGCTAAAGAAAGATAACACGTAACCGCTTTTCGGCAACATGGTATTCGTTTTATATCTGCTTTGAACAGAGAAAAAACATGTGCCCTCTCAGTCATCTGATCACAATCGAAAATCCGTATTCATTTTTTTCGCGATTTCGGCAATCGTTATTATTAAGGGTTTTCGTCGACTGAAAAATAAACATCGTTCTGTTGATTATATATTTCAGGCCATGTTCTTTATATCCTGCCATAATTAGCAAATCTTTATTAAGCAACCCATGATTATAAAATAGCTTTGCTTATCATTTGCTGCTGAATCTTGTGCTATCGCTTGTCAATTATAGCAGAGACGTAAGGAACATATTTTAAAAAAAATTTAAATTTTAAAATTAAACATATTAAAAATGTTTATAAAGAAATTAGCCACGTTATCAGCGCCAACTAACAGAAAATAACTTATCATAAATCACAATTAAAATTCAGTCGGTTATAAATGGCGCTAAGGTGATGCCATACAGAACAAAAAGATTTGGTTCGCGAGAGTTACCTTAGATGACCGCATAACGATGTTGTTTTATAAGCGGAAGGAAGATCAATCAAATTTAATAAAAAAAAAAAACGGGGGTTACGACACCCGTAACACATCAAGTTCATTAGACATCTCTAAAGACTTCTAAGTTGGTTACTCGATTACACTATACTATCAATATTACACTTATTACACCTGTTTGAGTATTCCGGACAATTTCGAATTTGAAATAAACGAAAACTCAACATATCATAATTAATACACAAAAGTTAAATAAACATTCATCGAAAAAGTTATTATTTAAGAACAACAACATAATCGTATAATTCCGCCCAAACCCCGATGTTCGCAAGTGAGATGATAAATAAATACTTTCGGTGTATTCGATAAATCAACTTCTGCAAACAGTCTTGGTGCAAAATATTTCCATCCAGTGATATGCTTACAAATATTCTCTGCGTTAATATCATAACCTCGCCTATAGGACTGGGCAAAATATTCGTATCGTTTCAATTTCATACTTTGCGCCAAAAAAGGTACCAACAAAGCTTTCTAATTTTAGAAGAGTCAAAATAAATAGACTATTCGAAATAAATATCCCAGATTTCAAACTCCGTATATTGGCAGCATGAATTAGCCGTTTAATGTAGGAGCCGCACATACAATTGATCGTCGAAAATCAAAAGTTAAATTGACGTTCCGAGAGCCCACACATGGTATAACATGTACAGGCTATAACCAGAAAAAAATGACAAGTCATAATCCTCTTAATGTGCTTTCAATTAGCTCGTTAGTGATCCCTCCCATCCTTGGCCAAGTAACGTTTCGAAAATGTGAACCTTCCACTCAGCCATGCATGGCGGGTGGAGTATTGAAATCGTAAACAAGAGTATAACGTAAAATCAATCATGAATTTCGATGTTAACAACGCACACTGTCGCCGTCATGAATTGCGCCTAGTAACATCGGAAATGATTAAATTCGTGATATTTTGAGTATTTTTGCACCAATAATTAGGGCGTGATTATCAAAATGGTGAATTTGCAAATTCCGTAAATAAAATTGTAACATTTTAGCTAGAATTATCACCGGACAGGGGCGCAGCCAGGATTTTTTCAACGGGAGATTAGGGGGAAGTTAAAACATTACACCAAAACTGCAATTCGCGACGACGTAATGCGTTTATAACTAAAATGTAAGGTCGTTCACGGCGAAATTTCGCAGTTACGTGTAGCCCGCCTTTCTTTGCCCAACGGTCCGAAGTCCTATTTTTAAACATCGACCATTTATCCGTAGTCAGCGGGCATCCGCATCTAGAAATGAAACATTAAAAATCGCGAAAATTAAATTTGGAGAGATCTATAACTCGCAGATGTCAGTAGTGTCATCATGGTTATATGTACAAAAACACGCTCGCATGTAGCGACGATCAAAATCATGAAAATGTGAAACTATTACTTGAGAATTATTGTTAATGAAGTTAAATTTTTATTGCCATTCAATGATTATTTCATAATTTTGTCATAATCGAAGGCTGCAGTAAATTTTTTGTCGCCGCGATCGTGTTGTTAAACTATATTAAAGCATGTTTTTATTCACTAGCAAATATTAATTCTCACGTAACGGCGGACATCGTAGTTTGGTTTTTATATTTCGGATAGAATTGTGAATTCACATCGGCGAAGATTTTAAAGACAACTATTAATGAGCGCATTTACAACGAAAATTGATTTTGTTCTGATTTTTATCTTCTGTGTAGGATTTGTATCAGTTCGTAAATTACCGTCCCGAGTTTAAGCGAACAATAATATTATTACTGACCCCATGATGCGATATTTGTGAAGCAGATAGTTGACATTTCTATGCTTTTAATTTTAGATCGTGTCTGTGTTACTTTCGTATTAAATAATAATTGAAAAACTCCGCAAATTGGTTATCTCTTGAGTACTCAGTGTTAAGTATTTACGTAACTCAGCTTTGGGTTAAAACACTGATAGTAACTAAACACGTGAATAAATCGGCAATAATGGCATTTCGACATGGTCAAAATAATATTTCTCACCAATATCTCATGAAAGTTCCATAAAATACATTATTTACTTGTCTTACTTATCGACGTTTCTAAATTTACAAAAACGATGTTGACACGCTTTATACAAAATCGTTTCAAATTTATTGTTTCTACATGTTAGCGATAGCTGTCTGGTTAATTCTTACTCGTAACTCATTGTAAAGTAATGTTAATAAATTGTGTTTTGCTTTCCAATGCGCGGTTAACCGCGGTTAAATTCGTTCGTTTTCCGGAATTGCAATCAACAATTACACATTTTTTATTTATCATTATCAGTACCGAATAAAAAAAAGATAACATATCGTGAAGATGAAAAAAGTCGTTGAAACTTGAGTTGAATTAGTTGCAATTAGCGCCTGATTAGGCACCAGAGCACTCGAGCCCAATGTTTTTAGCATTAGTCGCATATGTAAAATATCCTTAAAGAAGTGCGGTTTATTAAAGTCATCTCGTCTTATGGCCACGCAGAAATGCCTTTATTGCCAAATTATTTAATCACAATTTTAAATCAACATTCAGGATTGGCACAATCTCAGATTTGCGAGATTTATCTGTAAATTAATACAGACACCATAAAAAAATTATAAAAGTTAATTATCGTATTAAATATTTGCATTCCGGCATCGATAATAATAATACCATTCGCTTAAAATTGCGACAGTAAATTTACAAACGTTGATAGGTAATATCAAGTCAACGCAAATGTTTATTTTGGTTTTGAAATTTGTCGTTGATGCCCTTAACAGCTGTTGCCGATGTGAACGCACGCGTAAGCCTGGATTGCCAAACCCAGGATATAGTCGCCAAAACGATTGCGGTGACAAAAACAATTAGCTATTATAACGAAATTAACCAGTAGAAAAGGCTTCCTTGCTAATTTTTCGACCGACGTTCTAGACTCCTGCTGTGCATAAAAAATATTCTTTATTCGTTAAAAATATTCAATTCGAAAAAATATTCGATTTTGCCCACCCCTACTCGCATATTAATGAGGAAATAGTTTAGATTGATTTTTGACCAATACTGAATATCGCAAAATTCCGCGAAACGCCATTTGCTTTTAACATTCGTGGTTACAATAAAATGGCTGTTAAATGTTAATACGACGTATGTATGTTGTCAATTTGGCGATTTTGCAAATCTGTGAAATGCTGCTAAAAGTTTCTTCTAATTTAACAAACAATGGCCCAAGTTTACATTCCATTACTAAACAATGTCGTGTCGAGTATCAGAAATTTCTGAATGGCTCCAGTAAATTCACTAAGAAGAGAACACAGACCTGTCAAACCTGTACTAGAAAATCGTGTACTTTGGTCACAATTCATCGATGTCATTGACAGTCACATGACCACTCTCGTTTAGAGAAACGCACTGCCTTGCATTCGGACATCTGGTTTCAAAGACGCCGCCGAGCGTTTTCGCGGAAGCGGAATCAGTGTGCTTGTATAATAATCATATTATAAACAAGAATTTTGCCATTAATGCAAAAGCTTTATCTTCCATGTCTTCACCACATAGGTTAGAATTTCGGTAAATATCGTTATGATATGCAGAATTGAGTTACAAAAGTACTAGTATGTTACTTATTTGTCAACTTAATACGCACACAAAAACATTTGTCAACTTTGAATTTTTATTCCATTCAAAATCGAAAAAAAGTGCTATTTCTCTTCAAAATCGGAAAAAAGTGCTATTTCGCAGTCCCTAAAAAAAGTTGCGAAAGTGCTTCGCAATTTTCGCAAAAAAGTGCGCTAATAGTGAACACTGAAAAGCATTGATAATAAAATTGAATGTGACACCTGTGATGTCGACACAACTTGATTCTAAGGCAAGCCGTGACTTGTAGATATCTAAATTTGAATGCACTCTATATCACACAGAGAGAATGATGCAAATCCATACTTGTACTTTGGAAGAAACAAAAAATTGTTCAAACAAAAGGGTCAAGTGTTGTACATCCTACCCATGATACACCTTTTCAAAATGATGTCAAACAAAATAAAATACACACTGAATACTCAATAAAACAAAAGCTTGATAAATTAATAGTATTGCGATATGTGTTCTAGTAAACTATCTTTGTTATTTGATGTGTGACAACCGCATGATCCGTGAATTATTGATCAATTTAAGCCCTTAGTTTTATATTTATATTGAGGTATGCATGTTTGGTCGAAAATATTTGCATTAAACAAATATTGCTTTGCAATACATGCAATATATACATGCAGGCTTTCATCCAGGTTATAGTAGCAAACCCGTGAAATACCTGGCATATAAGCATGGATTCTTTTTGTTCGCCTTCAAGAACCAAAATTATTCATCTTACTTTTATATTTATATTTCTTAATAATCTCTAGCTAGGTTATGGCCCTGCCCTATTGGTTATGCTTGAATGACACCACAAAATATATTTACAGTAGAATGATATAAAATTCAACATGCCAAACAAAAAAAAACAAAAAAATGGTAGTATAAACAGCTACATATTGCACAGATATGAATTGTACAACAATATGGCAACAATATTTTCACAGCTCTGCATTATTTGAAAGCTGAAAGGGTATTTCTAAATACTGCCCTAATTATTGATATATTTAGGAACAATGTTTGGTAAATTGTTCCAATACAAAGAAGCCATGAATATATATATCGTTGGAATAACCATGCACAAAGAACATAAGAAACAAGATTGTATATGACTAGATTGAAAGCCAAAAAATTACTTCAATTTATTCATTTCAGTAAAGTATTTACATATTTATCCTGGGGAAAGAAAAATCGATGAGAAGCATAATCATATGGGGAACCACAGCCTCTCGTCGAGTCACCAGTTCAAGTCAGGTATGAGATTAGTTTGGAAGACTTGATGGTGGAGGAAGCCGTAACCGGGATTCGAACCTGTGAACCCACACAGGGAAATCAGAGGTGCGATGCTAAGCGTATTCCTAACGCTTAGCATGATGCGCCACACTGCCAAGCCTAAAATACATTATCTATTCAGAACATTTCTGCTCCCATTGCAAAAAATAATAATATGCATATTGCATATATATAATATAGTTCATGTATAAGTCACTAAATCTCCCTTATTACCTAAACAAAAATTACTTGGCAAACTGAACAAACCTGGGGTACTGTGCTTTCAATATACTGTAGTTCAGCTGCACTGATTCTGGGATGATCTCTCGGTTTATTATGAACCACGATGAACCACATCAAACACCAGATAAGCCCAAGTGTGCCTAAATTAAAAGTTTCATTTTTATTTCCAGTTTTGTTTATTTAGTCGAATTTTTGAAAATATGCAAAAACAATACACCGTTCGTTGATAATATAGGTACATGATTAGCATTCAATAAAATGTATAAATTATACAGGACATTGGAATATTATAAAATGAAACACAAACTTTATACAAAAATATAATTCGAGTAGAAAGTTACCAAGTATGAAACTTAACACTGATCATTAATCCACACATTATAGCAAACTCCCAATTTTAAAATATTTATTTTATTTACATATATATATATGAACATCAAGCAGTAGCACATGAAAAAATATCTCAATTCTTACCAAACACATAAAAAACTGAAGGCCATCCACCTAAAAAATCTGAATTGCACAATATTCCAGAAATTGGTTGAGCAATGAATGTTCCAAAATGGCATCCAGCATAACCCAGCGATACAAGTTTACTGCGTTCCAATGGCGGAACCCAAACACCCCACATTGCGTGCATGGCTGGGAAAGTGACACCCTGAATTTTATAAGTGCTGTTATTCAAATACAGATACAAAATTAACAGAAAGGACCAATATCAATAATATGATATCTATAATCTAACAATAGAAAAAAAGTGTTTTATTATTATCATTACTGACTTTTCTGTTACAAATTTATAACAGATTACACAGTCACTGACTTGTAAGAAACTTGCTTTGAGAAAATTAGTATCAAGAAATAAGTGTAAAAAGATGGGTAGGGTAATAAAATGAGCAGTTCGTATTATGTATTTCATGGCCAATACATCAAAATGTATCGAGTATGAATAGGTCAATACTAATAAATTAAATCATAATAATTCAGGAGTGAAACTCTTGCATCAAATTAGCAACCTTCAGCTTCTGATCTGATGAAGTATTCTACTGATAGCGCTCTTATGAAGATCTAACTATTTTCGTCGCCTGTTAAATAATAAAACAGCCATACTCGTATATATATTATATTATACAGATTTCAGAAGAACTACTGTTATCGTAAGAAATTTTTACATAATATTGCAGTATTACACATGTATACAGACCTAAATATACTAGTTCACCTACCTCGCCTAAACCTTCGACTACTCTTGTTGCAATCAAAAGAGCAAAACTTGTTCTAGCAGCAACAGGAGTTAATAAAGTGAATACAGTGGTGCACAATACTCCGCATCCAAACAAATATTTTCCTCCAAACCTAAATGAATAAATTATAAATATAATATGAGTCTCCACAGGAGAATATTTCAACAATGACACTTAGGGCCAGGCAATGACAAAAACATCCCAATATGTAACAAATATTATTGAGTTATGAAGTTGTTTACTTGGTGACAATCTGAATATTATTCTATTAATTTTACCCATATATATATTAAAAGTGAAAGATAGTAATAATAAATAATAGAATAATCCATATACATTCCAGAAGTTTAAAATTTAAATAGGTTTAGTGCTAATCCAGGGTGAAATCCCCAAACACTTGGATGTCAATCTGATTTACTTACTTGCTTGCCAGAATGCCTCCAATTAACTGAGTACATATATATCCATAGAAAAATGCTCCAAGTACCAAGGCTTTCTCATTACTTGACCAGTTAAATTCACCTTCCTAAATACAAGATAATAGACTGAGTGATAATTACAATAACAAAACAGTTGTTATTGGCAGGCAACTTTAAAATAAAATTTGAAAAAAATCTTTAAATTCAACTATGATTTTTGAAGTATAAATGAAATGTGCCAATCCGTAAAATTCCATCAAACAGAGAATCTTACATCGAATTAGATTAGAAATGAAGCAGACTTCATCAGAAATGAGAGAACCTTACACCCTTTTCAAACTAGATAAGTCTGTTACAGTGATTATTTTATTTCAGATTAGAACAGTTACAGTAAATACAGAAACATTATTCAGGTACAAGAGCTTTTAGACCGAGCCTCAACAAGGCCTTTTTTAAGATAGGAGATCATCGCAGCAATAAGACAGCTCAGCAGCTATTGAATGCAGAAACCCACATGCTGACATGATAAATTAAGTAACCTTGGGTGTAGAATTTGTGTGTGACACAGGACATTCATTCGAAGCATTGTGAGTATCCGATGTGTTGGCCATAGACACAATTGCAACACTAAGATTGACCCGAAGTGCATACACATTAAAAAATCCGAAAAATGCCATATAGGCTAGTACATATCTTGCTGACGTCCATGTTGGTACTGAAAAACAATGGAAGATAGTTGAACGGTGAAATAACACATTCAATATCTAAATCATAAAGCAAAAAAAAGCTGTTTCGGAATTAAAGCTTAGGAATTGAGGTAATGAGGTAAAATATAAAGTCTGGTTGTTCTATAAATTGAACCTTATAACGAACATCTTGACTTACACAAAGATAGATAGATAGTTTATTTCGAAAACTCCATAACAAACCTAAATTTAAAATGGAGAATTCTGGAGGACAAGCAAAACCTACAGAATTCTCCATTTTAAATTTAGGTTTGTTATGGAGTTTTCGAAATAAACTATCTATCTATCTTTGTGTAACAAAGTTATGCAATCCAGCCAAGCCGTTAACAAAAATACAGAATTATGATTTTGTCCACACTTAACTTACCATTCGAAGGACGTTCTATTTCATTGCCATACAGCGGTTCTTTTGAATTGTTTATACTCTCCTCAGACTTCCATCTTACATACTTCTCAGAATTCATGTTATTATAATAAAAACACAGTAACTGCTAAACTGAGAATAATCGACTACCGTACGACCTTAAGTTAAGATCATAACAATAAACAAACGAGAATATCGATCGGAGACCGAAGACTTATCGATGGTTTCGATTCATGACTCTATAGTGACACCGAGTGTCCAATCACTAATTAATTTATAACACGCTAATTATACGACATAATTCACCCAATGCATATGCAAAATTTGGGGCAGATTCAACCTCGCCTTTGTGAGATATTGCGTTCATCTAACAGACAGACAAACAAACAAATACCTATCAACATACTTACCGATCTAAATATCATTAAGTAATTAGATACCGGTACGTAGGTACTGAAAAATAATTGGCGATCAACTACCACGGTTGCCTAGATATAATTCCACATGATAAATTAAAATTTGGTAGGCCTACATTAATTCGTGAATATACCGTTTATATGGATTACTGAATACTAAATAGCGTTATAAAACCGTGGCAAGAGCTGCCGCGGTTCTTTCGTGGCAGGAGCTGCCATGAAGTGGTAAGAACTGCGCCCCACGGTTACTCTGCAGATGAGAGAGCAAAATCAAGCAGTATCTTAGTATCTAGCACAGGGGGGGCCGAACTTGGAACGCGAGCCCATTTATTCGGCACGCGAGCGAGGCCTCGGAAACAAGATCATTCTCCTTCAGATAAAGACTTTCAAGACTCTGAATTATCTGATGAAACTCGGCGTTCGGTTCATTCATTATCGTTTAACAATCCGTTATCAATTTAATCTCTTTAAGTCGTTTCATTTCATATGGCTACAAGAAATAAATTATGACGTAACCAATGAATGAGATCTCAAGAAATTTTGTCGAGAAGAGCACAGCATTCATTTGGCTACAATCTTGCGTAATATTTTTCGTCTGTGCCACCCGTTTTCTTCATTTCTGCTTGGTTTATGAAGTTTTACAGTTTACAGCTCATGTTGGTTACAGGTACTTGCTAACTTATTGTTATAAATTGATTTTGGGAATACAAAAGAGAAGTGCAAAAAACGACCTATTGCGTGATTGCGATGTCATTGTAGCCTGAAAGATGAAACCAGTGTTTAATTTGGTCGGCACGCGGGAGAACTTGGTCGTTATTATTGCTTTGAAAATAGGAAAGCGTGGTTTTTGATTTTGGTCGGCACGCGGGAGAACTTGGTCGTTATTTTTGCTTTGAATGTAGAAAAGCGTGGTTTTTGATTTTGGTCGGCACGCGGGAGAATTTGGTCGATTTTGGCACGCGAGCCGAAAAAGGTTGCCCACCCATGAATTCTAGCAGCATGCCGAGTAACAACGCACAGGTAGAACCAATACGCACAAAAATATACACCACGTGGAAATGACTACTGTATACTTTTTTTGAAAACAGCCAAAGTGGGTGTTTTGGCATTTTTCTATTCACTATCTATGTATGAATTAAATCAAAATGATGCATAAATTTGGACATTTGAATTCTCCCATATAATATTCATCAAAGCTAGTGTTGCGTAGAAAATGTCACATTATGATTGATCTATAATATATTCTATACTATGCAATTCAAGAGCTCTGCTGAAGGACCCTACTAAAAATGTGGGTATCAAAGGTATGTGATACCTACCTTTTTAGTGCCTGCTGCACACTAACAAAAATTTAGGTGCATGTTTACTAAACCAGAGGTTCCCAAACTGTGGGTCGCGTGAAGATTTTCCGCGGTCGCCTAATTTCATTCAAACATGCGCACACATGTGACTAGGATTTGAAAGTTGAAAAGTGAAATTTGCTTTGATCGACAAGTTTTGTAAATGTGCCTAGCTTCTAATTTTTCAGCAATAACTCGACCATTTATTGTGCTAACGACGCCAAAATTGCACGGTAAAATTTTCATGTGGTACCTAACCTTTCCAGCTGGTCGGCAAGTACCGATATGAGTAAATGTAATTGAGTGACAGTGTTACGTGCGCCAATAATATTTTCCTTTTTATAGTTTGATAATCATGTTACATCCAAATGAGTAGTTGACCCGCTGGTACGCAAATCGGATTTTTTAACAAGCTGCGAGAAATTATGTTGGTTTGTTATTTTTTTGTACTAGTGTAGCCGCTTGGTTATCAAATATACAAAACAAAGTTGCTTTATTTGGCTATTGGCCCTCAATTAGGTGTTTGACAAGTTTTGATTGCCAGGCGATGTCTTGCCCGAGTATTTACACTTTAGGTTTCGATCAGTTTGTTTCAGCGCTTTGGTAATTCGCGCACGCGTCTAAATTCTAAGAGTAGGCTACCTGTTTTGTTCACATCGCCTCCAAATAAAAGTGAATATTTTCGTATTGCAAGAGTACATAGTTAGACGTTTCATACATAATTTCGAAGTGTTTCGGAGCAGTCAAACATAAAACCACAACAAGTTCTAGCATAATAAGAGGCACTTGGAAATGTGATTCTGTACACGTTTTTTCCTATTTTACTTTCGAATCAATAATGGAGCAATCTGTAATATGTTAGTATTAAACTAAAAATAATAAGACACTGTTGGATTTCGCTGAATAGGATTTTCAATTTATGTATATCTAAAACCAATCGTACGCTTCCTTACAAGCTACCACATCAAGTCCGTCTATGCTTTGCCAAAGAACCAGTATAATTCTGATCTAATAGATTTTTACACTCCGGTTTACATACGATGCCATGTGTCTTCAAATCTTCCGAGTTTTTTTTGGCGCATTGCCGAATTTGTTCGTATATTTTTAGGGAAAATGTTCACCATCAACGTCCACTTGCAGTATATACAGCAGTCGCCGGCAAACTTTATCTAATTGCGGGCCAAATATACACATTTCCTGTAGCGTGCGGGCCGCATTAATTCCCGCCTGCGACAAATGTCACATTAAACTTAATAATATGGCACCATTGCATCTTCTATTACTGTGTTAAAAGCCCGAAACAATGAAACGTGTTCATTTTTTAATATATTATCGAACAATGCATTGTTTTCATTTACTCCTTATCAATGTGAAGGATGATGTTGTTTCTGTGTCAAGGCCAACTTCGTTGTACCGCATTACGTCGTACAAATGACGGTCTGGCAAGAGAATACGAAGGTTATTCCTGGTGTAATGCATTTTAGATAAATCTGCTCACAGCAATGTGTGCTTCCGAACGTGAACATTACACGTTTTGCACTGACACACAGATGAGCAGTGACACAGAACCGGGTCTCGGGGTCGGATTTCAAAATTCCATCGACACGTTTCGTATTGTCGTCCAATAACTGCAATGCTGACTTAGCATATCACGCAAACTGGTTTGGAAATGCGTAAGGATGAAAAATGTTATTCTGTCCAAGCGCTTCGGCATGTTCGATCCTCGCCGCGAACTCCCAATTTTGAAAAGCAACATAAACTAAATTATAATTGCAACCAACGTTCATCTAGTGAGGACATAGAATTGACGCTACTTATTCCAAAACAAGCGCCGTACAGCAGCACTTGTTACCACATAAATCCGCGTGAAAAATATAATGACTTTGGGATCTATTTTTGGTTTTGAGTTGGGTCGTTCGGCGGGCGCAAAAAAATAGTTCGAGGGCCGCATTTGGCCCGCCGCTTGCCGGACCCTGATATACAGGTAGAATTGTTCCCAATGAGGATATTGCAACTGATATATATATATACTGATTTTGAAGTCGATGAACGTTTCTAGTTGTGGGGTCGCGAGTATCTGTGGGCTTTGATTTTACGAAAATTGGGGTCGCGAAGAAAAAAGTTTGGGAACCACTGCACTAAACAACGTATGTACATGATAACACGTCATTATGAATCAATCATCAACAACAAATATAATACTTTTCCTCAAGACGTAGCCCAGAAAGACTAAAGATGACCTATATGATGCTTTCCCTTGGGACGTCGCCCAGAAAGACTAAAATAATAAATAAAATATAATATTTTCCCATGGAACGTCGGCCAGAAAGACTGCGATACCAAATATAATAGTTTCTCTTGGAACGTAGCCCAGAAAGACTAAGATAACAAATATAATACCTTCCCTCGGGACGTCGCCCAGAACGACTGACGATATATATATCATGATTTCCTAAGTTATTAAACCATATGATGGCGGATATAAATACTAATTAAGACTAGACCGCATCTTAAAACGGGATTCAAGCGAGATTTTCGTAATAGGTGCCAAATCATACGAAGAGATGAGTGTCTGAAGGCTTGCGTCCTATCGAGTATGCGAGACTGTATAAAGTTTTTACAGGTGCCCCGATTGCTCGCTCAGCGAATGAATTGCCCGATGTGCGGGGCCGCCATGATTGAAAAATAAAAAATAAAGCGAACAGGCTAGATAGAGAGAGGTTTCGGTGCAGAAAAAGTATTTCTAGAAACTCTTCTAGAAACTATCAGAATAAATTCGTTTTTCAAAAGAAGCAAAATCGACTTAATAAACCTGTTTATATATATTACTGGGCCCTTGATATACCACAAAGACAAATAGCATATGAGGTAGACGTAAGCCCGCGCATAGTCGTCGATTGGCTACATTTCGTACGAGAGATATGCTCGATAAAATTGATCCGAGATTTTTAAAAAATATAGGGGGTCAAGGCAGGGTAATTTGCGTGAATGAAATCCTGAAAGCCAAGCGAAAATCCTGGGCTAACAGGACTGTAAGAGAGATTAAACCCGTATGGGTGTTCGGAAGTATAAGTTTACAAACACGAAAAATATTTATACGATTGGTACCAAAATCCGGTCGTACTAAAACCACAACGGGGGAATTGATAAAATCGAATATTGCACCTGATTCGGAAATTTGGATTGTTTTGCATCCTACTAAAAGGTATAGAAGAATGGAACTATGTTATACCCACCGCACGGTGAAGCATAGTCCAATACTCTAATGTACGTTACTGGGGAGGGAATAAATACGTGATAAATAATAAACTTGTGATCTACTTTAAAGGAGAAATTTAAGCGTATGCACGGAGCCAGACGCGTCATTATTGATTCCTATTTAGATGAGTAACAAGGGCGCAGCAAGTATCCTCCCCCATATGCACTTTATGAAAATATTGGAGGCTATTGTAAATATGACGTAAGTACGT